CTTCCCAGCCCCAGAGGTTCCGCCTCCCTCTATCTGGTACTGGTTCAGCTCCATACAAGGCATCTGGCCAAGCAGGAGGCTGCTCCTCTTCCATGTTCCCTGCTAAGGTCAGGAACTGTCTATTAGTGGGGGAACTGATTACTGGCAGCCAGCCTGTAATCCTAACTACTCAGGAGGCTGAGATCTGAGGATCACAGGCAGCCTGGAAGGAAGGTCCATGAGACTCTTATCTCAACCACCAGAAAATCAGAAGTGATTTTCTGTGGCTCAAGTGGTAGAGCGCTTGCCTTGAGCTGAAGAGCTGAGGGTCAGCGCCCAGGCCCAGAATTCAAGTCCTACGACGGACAAGAATAGGCAGCCAGGTGCAGGTGGCTCATGCCTGTAAACATAGCTACTCAGGAGGCTGAGATCTGAGGATCATGGTTTGAAGCCAGCCCAGGCAGGAAAATCTGTGAAACTCTTTATGTCCAATTAAGCCCCAAAAAGCTAGAAGTGGAACTCTGGCTCAAGTGGTAGAGCCTAGCCTTGAGCAAAAAAACTCAAGGACAGTCACCAAGCCCTGAGATTAAGCCCCAAGGTGGGGGTGGGGGGTAGGGAAATCTCCCTCATTAGACTGGCCCCAAAGGCTGTTTTTCCTGGATTAGGGCAGAGTCTGTGATTGCCCCTTAGAGTGCTCCCTGCCAGGTCCCCACTCCAACTCCATGGTGGTGGCTGGCTTTAGTCTGTCACTTCAGGTTCGTGGCCAAAATTTTGGTGCCATCTTCCTCCAAGGGTCTGGTCCCACCAGGAGGCCTGAGCTCTTTTCTCCGCAATTTTCCCACCAAGTTTTCAAATTTCCCTGCAAAAGGGCCAAGGTGATGGGCCCAACCTTATCTCAGAAACTGCAGGTAAAAGAGGGGTATTGCTGGGCGCTGGGGGCTCATGCCTGTAATCCTAGCTACTCAGGAGGCTGAGATCTGAGGATCGCGATTCAAAGCCAGCCCGGGCAGGAAAGTCTGTGAGACTCTTATCTCCAATAAACTACTAGAAAACCAGAAGTGGTGCTGTGGCTCAAGTGGTAGAGCCTTGAGCTGAAAAGTGCAGGGACAGCGCCCAAGCCCAGAGTTCAAGCCCCATGACCAACCAAAAAAAAAAAAAAAGAGCGGTATTGGCTGTTGGACAGTGTGATTCCTGCTAATGGAACTATCTAGTCTTGGTGCCCTGCAGCACAGACCAGGCCTGCCAATGAAGAAAGATGTACAAGTCCTGACTGGGGGTCCCAATTCCAAATTCCTCACTTACAGGGTGTGGGACTTTAAGCAAGCCCTCAGCCTCTCCGAGCCTGCCTCTCATCCCATGTTGCTGGGGAGGACTGGGTACCTGAGCCTTGTGTACTTGGAGCAATGCACGATGCTGAAGAAGAACCCTTTGCGGCCTGGGAGCCTTGGTACCCGATCTATACCCAGTGATGCAGAGACGCTTGGTGACATGGGGAGGGGTGAGGGAAGGGGAAGTGTCATAGCACTTGGACTGGAGGCTCATCCGGCTTTGAAGTGAACTGTCTGTCCTCACTGGAGCACCTCCCAGACCCTCCTGCAACCCCACAGCTCTCAATCCTGCCCAGGGAGGGGCTGGATGCACATGGGATACCAGGTTCCCAGGAGCACAGGCCCAAGGGCCTTGAGGGACATGGATGTTGTTAAGCACCCCTAGGCTCTGCTGCCCTGCTCTCCTGGAGCATGGAGAGCCCTTAGGATGAGGTGTTGGTCACAAAAGGACATTGCAAGGTGAAAGATTCATAGAAATAAACTCCATTTAAGTGTCTAGGAGAGCATACAGCTGTAGGGGGTAGGCAATGCTTATTGAGATGTGCCAAACTCTGTGCCAAGTATAGCACATGAATCTAACTCCTGTTACTTCCTAGCAGGGCAGAATCACTTATTACCTACACCTTTCCAACTCAGAAAACTAAGCTTCAGGAATTTAAGAGCTCAGAGTTAGGTACCAGAAAATGGAGTTGAACTAAAGAGGAGGTGGGTGGGTGGCAGGCTGGATGTCCAGGAGGCAAAGGGAGTGAGACTTCAAACTGGCTGACAGGCAGGAGTTGGAGACCGGTGGAGAAATACAAGGACAAAGGAAAAGGGAAACTATGGGGTCTCTCTCTTTGGTCAGTTGTGGGGCTTGAACTGTATGCCTGGGCACTGTCCCTCAGCTCTTTAGCACAAGGCAAGCACTCTACCACTTGAGCCACAGCAGCACTTCCGGTTTTCTCGTGGTTTATTGGAGATGAGTCTCACAGACTTTCCTGCCTGGGCTGGCTTTGAACCATGATCCTCAGATCTAAGCCTTCTGAGTAGCTAGGATTACAGCCATCAGTGCCCAGCTATGGTCTCCTTTTTTTTTTTTTTTTTTGGTCTGTCGTGGGGCCTGAACTCTGGGCCTGGGCGCTGTCTCTCAGCTCTCCAGCTCAAGGCAGCACTCTACCACTTGAGCCACAGAGCCACTTCTGGCTTTTTCTGCTTATATGGTGCTGAGGAATCAAACCAAGGGCCTCATGTATGCGAGGCAAGCACTCTACCACTAAGCCACCTTCCCAGCCCCTAATGGTCTCCTTTTGAGGATTCCTTTATACTGCCTGTGTGACAGCAGGACAGGACAGGACAGTAAAGAATGAAATTATTTTATGGAGGGCATGGTGATTTACCAGTGTGTGTGTGTGTGTGTGTGTGTTTGATGGAGGGCATGGTGATTTGCCAGTGTGTGTGTGTGTGTGTGTGTGTGTGAGAGAGATGGGGGGTGGTTTTGAAATCATCTCCTCCACACTCTTCAGTTCTAAGATGTGAAGCAGTAAGAAAGGGATGGACCCAAGTCACTGTATGATTATGGAAGTGGCCAGCCCTGCCCTGGGCTCTGACCCTGAACTTTTTTTTTTTTGGTTGGTCGTGAGGCTTGAACTCTGGACCTGGGCGCTGTCCCTCAGCTCTTCAGCTCAAGGCGAGCGCTCTACCACTTGAGCTACAGCGCCACTTCCTGACCCTGAACTTTAATGCTCAAGGCTTGTGCTCTACCACTTGAGCCACAGCTCCACTTCTAGCTGTTTCAGTGTTTAATTGGGGATAAGAGCCTCATGAAAGCCAGGTGCTGGTGGCTCACACCTGTAATCCTAGCTACTTAGGAGGCTGAGATCTGAGGATCACACAGTTGGAAGCCAGCTGGGACAGAAAAGTCCCTGTGAGACTCTTACATCCAATTAACCACTCAAAAACCAGAAGTGATTGGTAGAGAGCAAGGAAGAGGTAACATTGTCCAAAAAAAGAAATGTACTCTTTAATTGACTTATGTAACTATAACTCCTGTTTATCACCTTTATAATATTAAAAAAAAAAAAAAAAAAACCACAAGGGCTGGGAAGGTGGCTCAGTGGTAGAGTACTTGCCTTGCATGCACGAGGCAGAAAAAGCCAGAAGTGGTGTTATGGTTCAAGTGGTAGAGTTCTAGCCTTAAGCTGAAGAACTGAGGGACAGTGCCCAGGGCCAGAGTTCAGGCCCCACCACCAACAAGACAAGACAAGACAAGACAAAACAAAACAAAACAAAATCTGGAAGTAGAGCTGTGGCTCAAAGTGGCAGAGCGCTAGCCTTGAGTAAAAGACCTCAGGGACAGTGCCCAGGCCTTGAGTTTAAGCTCCATGACTGAACAAAAACAAAAACAAAAACAACCAAGTGTTTCATGAACTTTCCTGCCTAGGCTGGCTTGGAACCGCGATCCTCAGATCTCGGCCTCCTGAGCAGCTAGGATTACAGGTGTGAGCCACTAGCCCCTGGTAGATTAGAGTTAGAAGAGCTCCAGGTCACATCTGCAGAAGTGAAAGCACTGGTGAGGGGAGGGGAAAACAAGGGTCCTGTTGTATAGATAGATGAGTGGGTAGTGGGCAGGTTTGGGGGGAAGACATGGGAATACTGGGGCTAGGATTTCAAGGAGAAAAATATGACTTGGTCCTGTTGAAGTAGCTGATGGCCTTGGAATACACAGGCCGGGTGGCATGTTGCAAAAGGGGAAAGGGAAGGTATGGAGGCAGTAGGCAGAGGCTGTGTGAGAAGTAGCCAGAGAAGAAGATGCACCTTCTTCAAGCTGCTGAATCAACTCCGGTATCTTCCAGGGTGGAAGAATATCAAGCTTTTTGGCAAAGGTAAGGTGCAGAGTCTGAGAAGGGAATTGACAAGGGTGACTGGAGGCCCAGGCCTGGCAGTCCTTCCCAGAAGGACATTGCTCCTTTGAAAGAAAACCAAAGAGCAACATGAAGGGGGCTGGATAGCCAAATGGTACAGTGCCTATTGAGCAAGGGGAAGTGGACTTGAAGTGTCAGCAGTGCTCAGGTCAGTGAGTCACTGAGGGGCCCAACTCATGTCAGGTAGCACTCATTCATCCTGGTCAGGTGTCAGGTGTTTGAGGGTTCCCCACTAATGTAACTCTACAGCGTACAAGCTGGAATAGACAAATGACTACAGCAGCAGATGTCAAAGGTCACAATCTTTGAGATGGGCCAGCTGTGCAGTGGGGGATGGGCCTTGTGTGGAGAGATGGGCAGGAGAAGCTCGTTTCGGGGGCTCGAGTGTGCCGCATGTGAAGGTGCCAGTGAGGTCTGAGGAAGGGCAAGAGGAAACTTCCAGGAAACAAGTTTGGTTACACATCACAGAAGGAAAGGAGGTTTTCAACAGAGTCTCAAAGCAAGCCCTCGCTCATGGGTGGAGCCCGACTGGGAAACTGGGCAGGGCCTGGAGCAGAAATGCCTGTTAGGCGGAGTGTTCTTGGCATGGATGACCAGTATGCCCTCTGTAGGCGACTAGTCACCAGGCAGATAGGACTGGCAAGATGAGGCAGGGCAGATTCCCTCACTCCCCATGGCCTGGGGCCAGCCTACAGGAGGGTGGTGACATTGGCAAGGCCCTCACCCCTGCCTTGGGTCACAGAAGGGCAGATTGGGGACCAAAACATTGCACTCCTGGCCCACTTCTTTTCTACTTATTATTAACAAATTTATTTACATTTCCTAAATCAAGATTAATTGTGAAATTTAACAGGAATGGCATAAAAAGGCCAAAAGGGGCCTCTGAGGAGGCTCGTGTACACAGATGCTCTATTTCCAAACTAACAACTCAGGTCCTCACCCGAAACTAGGCTCCCCCTCCTTCCTCTGAAAGGAGACAGAATAGCACCAGGCTTCCGGCAGCTTCAACATTTAAAGAGACAAACACACAACAAAGGCAGAGAAGGGTGAGAAGAACCACAGTACCAATTATGATTTAAAAAAAAAAACAAAGTGGCCAAAGAATCGATAGCAAACCCATTTCTGCTTCCAGATTAATGGCTTGGCAGTCAGAAATGGGGGGGAGGTCCTTGGGGAAGGAGGGAGGGAAGAGGGTGATGTAGAAGTTGGCAGGTGAGACACTAACCCTGGAACAGCAGAGCCCCAGGTGGGCTGCTGAAAGGGTCTCTGGAGGGGACTCTGGCCACATCCTGGCTCAGGGGGAAAGGTCAGTGCTGGGCCCCAGCTAAGTGTATGGGGGAGGGAGCATGGTAAGTGCTGCAGCTGAGCCCCTCCTCTGCTTCATATGTTCCTGAGGATCTGTGTGAGCGTGGGGGGCTGGGGGAGGGGACACACAGGCATTTCAGAAAACAGGAGAGACCACATGCTTGTGGGAAAGGAGGCTGGGGTGGGGGTGGGGAACAACTAACCCTAGGTACTGCAAAGAGGCAAGTGCCTGGGGGCACAGGGCAGGAAGCTAGACCACTCCTGCTTCTTTGTGGTTCCCTCCCTATGCCAACTTTGCCTCTTCCCTGGCGTGGGCAGCTGGCTCTGGTTGGGAAGGCCCACTGCAGAATGATGCCTGGTTGCCTGGTTAGGATCTGTTTGGAGGCAGGGAGAGGAGAGGGCAGCCTCCAGCTCAGACTCTTGGTCCTGTCCAAAGACCTGTTGGGCAGAAGACCTAGCCCCAAGGGTCCCACAGAGCCCAGCTACTTACTTGTACCTCAAAGGCTGGGCTCCTTCTACTTCCCTGAGCGGCCCTGGCCAGGAAGTAAACTGAGTCTATCTATAGCTCTGAGGGCACCTAGGGAGTCACAGGACCAGCTCTCTGCTAGCACTGGGTGGGGGCTCAGACTGCAGGACAGGGAGACAGGCCATTTGGAGAGTCTGGGGGACCCAGAGCCATTGGGAGCAGCGGGTTCCTGCTGGCAGAGGGTGGGGGAGTGAGTGAGATGGGCTGTCTGAAGGCTCGTCTGCTATAGAGAGCAGGTAGGCTGGTGGCTGGCCTGGGGCTGTGGGGAAGCTGGGGAGCAGGTCTGTCTGCTGGGGCACAGGGCCGGGAGCAGGAGCTGCACACTCAGAATCCTCAGATTCTAGGGGCCATTCTCCTCTAGGCCAGACGGGCTGTGGAGCCCAGAGCGCTACCTGTCTATCCGAGGGATGCCAAGGGAACAAGAAGTCTGAGAGAGAAAAAGAGAGAATATCCCTGTCATCAGTGGTCATGGCACCGCAGGGGTAGAGGGCTCTTGGGATAAAAAATGAGGCATGTCGCCAGGAGGCCCCTGATCTCTTCTTGGCACTGCCACTTGGGAACTGAATCTTCCGCTTATGACCACCAAGTGTCTGATCTGTGCCAGAGGAGAAGGCACTGGGTAATAGGGATTGGGGATTGTGTTCCTGGGAGGTCACAAACACACCAACTGACCCTACCAGCTCCTGGCAGCTTGCTACTGATCTGGGTACGTGGCCAGTCCCTGTGGGTTCAGCTGGTTCCTTTGTACTATCCACTGTCCCATCCTGCTCTGCAGTCCATGGGGTTTGTCCCCCATCTTCCTTCCTCATCCTGGGAGATGCTGTCCTGGGTTGGCAGGGCCGGCTTAGGGGTGGAGTCTCAGAACAGAGTATGTCACGATTAGAAGCAGGAGAACCTGATTGCCTGTGGGGAGAAAAATACTCAGTGAGCTACAGCCAGAGCAGACAGAGTTCCCTGGTTGGGACTGAGGACAGGCAGAGCAGCCAGTGAGATGCTACCCCTATGGGTCTTAGCATGGTGAGGAGAGATGACTGCTCTGGGCCTGGTTGGAGAAGTGGCCACAACATTGTGCACCTCTCTTAGCTCTGTGGCCAGTGTCAGGTCAGGGTTGGCTAGAAGAACTGGACAGAGACTCCCACTTAGTAACTTCAAGGAGGTTACAGAAAGCACAGAAACTGGCTCTCCAAGATCTGCAGAGGTGGAAATCTGGTTAGCAAGGGACACCATGGACCTCAATAGGAGCCCTTGCTGAGTAATAGGGGGATAACAAGGTGCAGAGGACCCTGAAATCCCCACCAAGCCCCTGCTAGCCTTTCTTTCTTTTTTTTTGTCAGTTGTGGGGCCTGAACTCTGGGCCTGGATGCTGTCCCTCAGCTCTTCAGCTCAAGGCAAGCAGTCTACCACAGGAGCCACAGTGCCACTTCTGGCTTTTTCTGCTTATATGGTGTTGAGGAATCGAACCCAGGGCCTCATGCATACAAGGCAAGCAGTCTATCACTGTGCCACCTTCCCAGCTCCCCTGCTAGACTTTCTGAGGCTAACTTCTGGAAAAGGAGAAAAAAAGGACCTAGGAACTAGGAACTAGCTGGCTACAACTGCTCATTCTGCACATCAATGATCACCGCTAAAACTAAGTGGACAGAGGATGATGGGAAGAAAGAGAAAAATGCTACAGGGTGGTTGCTGCTGCTGATGACCTGAGGGTTTCTTCCCACTTGGGACAGGGTAACAGAAGGTAGTGTGTCTGCAGCTGTGGTGCTCACCTGGGGAGGCTGGCTTGGGAGATGTCTACAAAGCTCGGGCTGAGCTGGGCGATGATCCGGTCGATTTCTGCATATGGATGGGCTTCTAGAGCAAAGCTCTGGTGCTGGGCACTCTGAAGATGCTACCCAGGACAAGAGGAGGCATGGAACATTAGACAAGGCTGGGGTGAGATACAAGCAGAGCTCCCAAACTGGTCTTAGGTAAGACTCGTCCTTGACTGCCCAGACTCTCTCCAGTCTGGGGAGGTGCTGTCTAACGGGGCTTGCTTACCACATGGAGATCTGCAAAGGTTTCCTTGCAGCATTCACAGTACCCCTTCTTCCTCCTGGGCAAGGTGTGCACAGCTGATCGCAGGCTTGGCTCTGGATCCCTGAGTTCTCTGGAGAGGAGAGTGGAAGTGCTGGTCACGACTGTGGATCTCAGGGGAGAGGCTGCTGCTTAGGGTCTGGTGCTCAGACTAGGAAGATGACCAAGGAGCCAGGCAGGCCTACCCTACACTTGGTACCACGCATCCAAGGGTGGTAGAAGAGGCAGGGAAGAGGTGGTCACCACATCCTCCCTGTGTCCTCCTTGCCCCTACATTTCAAACCACAGGTGAGGGCAAATGGCAATGGCTACAGAAGACTCCTGTGTAGATATTCACCTGTGTGCCTAGACACAGCCATGTTCACCTGACCTGTAAGATGGAAGGCAAAGTGCTTAACAGCAGGAGGGGACTGTTCTGCCTTCAGTTTCAGGCTGGCTTGTCCTTCTCACAGCTGCCATCTCTCAAAGTCTTCTCACTGGAATTTCAGCCATGTCTATAAGATGGCCTGAGGGACATTGCGCTCTTTGGCACCCTAGCAAGCTCATGTCTAGACCCTGGATCCTATTCTTTTTGTGCAGATCCTGGATCTTATCCCTGAGCTTTCTGCTCAAGGCTGGCACTCTACCACTTGAGCCACAGCTCCCCTTCTGGCTTCTTGGTGGTTAATTGGAGAATAGAGTCTTACGGACTTTCCTTCCTGGGCTGGCTTCAAATCTTGACTCTCAGATCTCAGCCTCCTGGTTTCAAAACATTCCCCTTTTAAGAGCTTTCTAATTTCTCAGTTCAACAAAAATCCCCAAAACATAGAAAAGCTGTATGTTTAAACTGTGTTAGACTAAAAGGCATGCAGCTAGTAATAAAGGGCTTAGGCCCCAAATACCAGAGCTCCTTATGTATCACTAAGTGATCAATAGTTATGCAAAGGATACAAAGAAGGTTAACATAAAAAGAAATTATCTCCAGCTGGGCACTGGTGGCTCATGCCTATAATCCTAGCTATTCAGGAGGCTGAGATCTGAGGATCATAATTCAAAGTTAGCTAGGGCAGCAAAGTCCATGAGACTCTCATCTTCAGAAAACTTTAAGTGGCACTGTGGCTAGAGTGCTAGCCTTGAGTGAAAAAGTTCAGAGACAGCATCCAGGCCTTGAGCTCAAGCCCTATGACCAAAAAAAAAAAACACCCAAACAAACAAAAAAATAATAAATTATCTCCAATTAACCACCAAAAAGCTGCAAGTGGAGCTATGACTTCAGAGGTAGAATGCTAGCCTTAAGCAAAAAAAACTCAGTACCCAGATTCTGAGTTCAAGCCCAAGATTGAACTCTCCCCCCACCCCAAAACAAAACAAAAACATACCAATACAGTTCTCAATCTCAGATTGGTGGATGCTGAAAAATCTGACAGTACACAGTACTAGGTGGGGAGAGGGCTAGCAGTGCAGGGATCATTGCTCTCACTTCTCTGAAAAGCAGCAAATTTGGTCAGACTGATGAAAATGAGAAATGCAGGCACCCCCTAAACCCAAGCATTTCTTCTTCTTTTTTTTTTTTTGGTTCCGGTCGTGGGGCCTGAACTCTAGGCCTGGGCGCTGTCCCTCAGCTCTTCAGCTCAAGGCTAGCACTCTACCGCTTGAGCCACAGCGCCACTTCCGGCTTTTTCTGCTTATGTGGTGCTGAGGAATCGAATCCAGGGCCTCAGGCACGCAAGGCAAGCACTCTACCACTGAGCCACCTTCCCAGCCCTAAACCCAAGCATTTCTATCTGTAGGAATTTATCCCACAAATGGACTCAAATAACTACAAATTTACTCTGAACAGCTAATCTATGCATTGATCAATAACAAACTGGTTAAATAAAGTAGAGCAAATCATATGAAGACATACTGCACAGCCAAAAAAAAAAAAAAAAGGAACAAGAATGCTTTTTAGTTATAATAGGCAATTAATTTAAAATATATTAAGTGGGAAAGACATGATCCAGCAAAGAAGACAGGTCTAGATGTGCACGCATACAATATCTCAGGGCCAACAACCGGAGGCTGGATATAGAATACAGAATTTTCACTTTCAGTCCTTCATAATTCTTGATTTTTTTTTGTGTGTGTGACAGTATAGGGGGCGTGGGCCCTGTCCCTGAGCTTCTTTTGCTCAAAGAGAGTGTTCTACCACTTGAGCCAAAGCTCTACTTCCAGCTTTTTTTGGGAAGTTTACTAAAGATAAGAATCTCATAGGGCTGGGATGTAGCTCAGTGGCAAAGCAAGTGCAACATCCTGGGTTTGATCCCCAGTACCAAAAAAGAAGACAAAAAATAATATATATATATATATATATATATATATATATATATGTATAGGGCTGGGAAGGTGGCTCAGTGGTAGAGCGCTTGCCTTGCATGCTTGAGGCCCTGGGTTCGATTCCTCAGCACCACATAAGCAAAAAATAAAAAGCCGGAAGTGGTGCTGTGGCTCAAGTGGTAGAGCACTAGCCTTGAGCTGAAGAGCTGAGGGACATTGCCCAGAGTTCAGGCCCCACGACCAGACCCAAAAATAAATAAATAATATATATAGTTAAAAAATAATCTCATGGACTTTTTTGCCCAGGCTAGCTTTGAACCGCAATCCTCAGATCTTAGCCTCTTGAGTAGCTAGGATTACAGGTGCTTGATGCCAGTGCCTGGCATAATTCTTGATTTTTGAAGCTAAAATAATTTTTTTTCTTGGATATTGGATCTCTCTAAGTAGTTCAGGTGGGCCTTAAATTTGGGACTCTCCTGCTTCAACCTCTTGTATGATGAGATGTGTGCCACTTGTAATTAATCATTGTTAAGAAATTATTCACAATAATTTAAATGTGAAAAATAAAACCTTTCTTCCAGTATAGATTTTATTTTATTTTCCTGTCACCCCCCCCCCTTTTTCTTTGCTGGTACTGGGGTTTGAACTCAGGGCTTTGTACTTGCTCAGCTTCTGCTTGGCTGGCACTTGAGCTATGCCTCCAGCCTAGCTATTTTGCTGATTATTTTGGAGATAAAAATCTCTAGACTTGGGAGGAGTTGGGGAAGGAAGGGATGGTAGGGGAAAATCAGAGGGGGTAACAATGCTCGATAGAAAATATACTCATTACCTTACTCATGTAACTGTAACCCTTCTGTATAGTATCCTTACAATAAAAAAAAATATACATTAAAAAAAAACCCGACTTTTCTGTCAGCGCTGGCTTGAACCCAGATCCTCTGGGTGCTGTCCTTGGGCTCTTTTGCTCAAGGCTAGCACTCTACCACTTTGAGCCACAGCTCCACTTCTGGTTTTAGAGTGGTTAATCAGAGCTAGGTCTCCCAGGGACTTTTCTGCCTGGGCTAGCTTTGAACTGTGATCCTCCAGATCTCAGCCTCCTGGGTAGCTAGGATTACAGGCATGAGCCATGGGCGCCCCACTTCAGCTTCTTGAGTAGTTAGGATTATAGGCATGAGCTACCGGCCCAGCCCCCAATACAGATTTTCTACACATATGCACATACATGTAACACACTCAAGTGGAACTCCATGTTCCATCTGGGCCAGACCCCTGCCCAGGCTCCTTACAGGCAGATCCAAAGCTTCCCTGCTTTCTTATCTCCCCTCTAAAGCCTCTCAGCTCCTCTGCAATTCCAAGACCACTTCAGGCCTGGCTCCCTGCCATCCTCATGCCTAGGCCACCTCCTGATGGGCTTTCCCTGGTATCTATTGATTCATGTAGAAAGGAATGAAAGCATTTGGGAGTTACCTTCGGCTTACTTCCTTGCTTCCCACTCTACTTCCTTCCTCCACTCTCCCACCTTCATTATTTCATGATCTGCTGCTTTCATCTGCTGATGAATCTGGGCTTTCTCCATGGCCCTAGTAGTTCTGAGGCTGAGTCTTCTCTATTCTACTGTGCTGGTCTACTGAACTAACCCTGTGGTTCAGATGTTAGAAAGTGCCAAGTATGAGCTGGATGCCGGTGGCTCACACCTGTAATCCTAGCTACTCAGGAGGCTGAGATCTGAGGATCGAGGTTCAAAGCCAGCCCGGGCAGCAAAGTCCGTGAGACTTTTTTTTTTATTTTTTGGGGGGGGGGATGGGTCCGGTCATGGGGCCTGAAATCTGGGCCTGGGCACTGTCCCTCAGCTCTTCAGCTCAAGGCTAGCACTCTACCACTTGAGCCACAGTGCCACTATGGGCTTTTTTCTTTTTTCTTATGTGGTGCTGAGGAATCGAACGCAGGGCCTCAGGCATGCAAGGCAAGCGCTCTACCACTGAGCCACCTTCCCAGCCCTCCGTGAGACTCTTATCTCCAATAATTTACCAGAAAACTGGAAGTGGCGCTGTGGCTCAAGCGGTAGAGCGCTCACCTTGAGCTGAAGAACTAAGGGACAGCACCCAGGCCCAGAGTTCAAACCCCACAACAAAAAAAAAAGTGCCAAGTATAGTGGCACATATCTATAATCTCAGCATTCAGGAGGCTGATGCAGAGAGATCATATATTTGAAGTCAGCCTGGGCTATATAGTAAGACCTTATCTCCAAAAAAAGGGAAGAAGGGAGGGAGGGAAGGGAAAGGAGAAGGAGGAAGGGAGAGGAGAAGGAGGAAGGGAGAGAAGGAGAAAGAGGGAGGAAAGAAAGAAAGAAAGAAAGAAAGAAAGAAAGAAAGAAAGAAAGAAAGAAAGAAAGAAAGAAAGAAAGAAAGAAAGAAAGAAAGAAAGAAAGAAGCTGGGCGCCGGTGGCTCACACCTGTAATCCTAGCTACTGAGGAGGCTGAGATCTGAGGATCATGGTTCAAAGCCAGCCCTGGCAGAAAAGTCCGTGAGACTCTTATCTCCAATAAACCACTCGAAAACCAGAAGTGGCCCTGTGGCTCAAGTGGTAGAGCGCTTGCCTTGAGCTGAAGAGCGCAGGGATAGTGCCCAGGCCAAGAAAGGAAGGAAGGAAGGAAGGAAGGAGAGAGAAAGGAAGGAAGGAAAAAGGAAAAGGAAGAGAGGGAGGGAGGGAGGAAAGGAGAGAGGTAAGGAAGGAGGGAGGGAGGGAAAGAAGGAGGGAGGAAAGGAAAGAAGGAGGCAGACTGGCAGAGCTGAATTCCTTTTCTATTTTGGTTAAAAGGTTAAAAAATTCTCAAACACTCTTTCTCTTTACTAAATACTCTTTACAACTGTGGGAAAAAAAATTCTCAATCAACACACCTACAAGTTACCATGACCATATAATGCAGTGAGTTCCTTCAGCCTCCTGCCCCTTAGTTATTCCTCAGCCTCTACTGTGAAGTGAATCTGGGAGCTTGTAACAATGTAGCAATTAGGGATTCACCAATGCTGATTCTGCAGGTGTAGGCTAGAGCCTAGAGATGTGTTTTGGGGGAATAGTGGGAACCTGAATTAAGGAGCTCCAGGGCACTCTGATGATGGTGGTCTTAGCTCCGAGCCCTTTGGACACTTCCAACTCTCCAAATAAAATGGATGAATATTCCTAGTGTCTCTCTTCTCTGGGCTAAGCTTCAAAAAAGATTTTGCCAAAGGAGCAAACAGATGGCCAATCCCAAATCTGACCAGCAGGTCCCTGAGGGGGAGGGCTTTGGCCTGTAACCAGTTCTTGGTCCTCAGGAATTAGAAAGGCTTACCTGGAATGCTGCAAGCTGCTGGGGGTTGTCAGAGCCTCAAAAGGACTTGCAGCTTTGGGTCCCAGAAAAGAAATTTCAGGAAAGGATTTAAACTGATGGTGGAAGGGACGAAACTTCCTGAAACAAAGAAAACTTGGATTTTGACTACAGTGGGCAAGGGAGAAGCTGGGAAGGAACTAGCCCAACTCTAGCATCCCAACCTTGCCATAGATCTCAAGCAGACTTTCTAAGTTAAACTAATACTATAACTATGTTCTCCCTGTCTACTTTTTTTTTTTTTTTTTGGTCGGTCGTGGGGCTTGAACTCTGGGCCTGGGCACTGTCCCTCAGCTCTTCAGCTCAAGGCGAGCGCTCTACCACTTGAGCCACAGCGCCACTTCCAGTTTTCTGGTGGTTTATTTGAGATAGGAGTCTCACGGTCTCTCCTGCCTGGGCTGGCTTTGAACCGCGATCCTCAGATCTCAGCCTCCTGAGTAGCTAGGATTACAGGCGTGAGCCACCAGCGCCCGGCGTCCCTGTCTACTTTTCAAATAGATTTACATGTACTACCTAATCTGAATCCTATAAGTGCCCACTGGGCAAGTAGCTGGGCCACTGGTGGCTGGCTTCCTGACCTACTTCTTGCTATTTGTCTCTTGAGCTTACAACAACTTTCAAGTGTCTAGATAAACAGAAACTTAGTGGAAGACTATTTAAACCATAATACTGCACGTTTCTTATTCTGTGAAGGGAAGCATTTCTGTACTAGGCTCATCCCTGGTACTATTTGAAGAGAACCTTTCCCTCCCTCCCTATGGACAGGAGTGTTCTCAATAAAGAGGAGAGGCACAGAGAAAGACTCTGGATGGCCAGCCTTGTCTTGAGTAGTTCTGGCAATATGCCTGAAGTTTCAAATATACAAGAGACTTGTGTATCAGACAGAGCCTGCTATGTGTGTACTCAGCAAACCTTGTTGACTAAGGTCACTGCCAGGCTTGGCATGCCTGGTGATTGTGATGCCTATGGTCTGGGGATAGAGTAGAGGCCATGGATCCCTGGCAGCAGGGTGAGCCCTGTGGCACCAGGAACTTGCACTCTTAAGGGGAGAAGGATGTTCGTAACTCACTCCAGCATCCCTCTTCCTCTTTCATGTTTTGCTTCTGCTTAGGATTGAAACTTGGTTTTTTTTTGGGGGGGGGGGGATTGGGGTGGGAGTGGTGTTGGTCATGGGGCCTGAAATCTGGGCCTGGGCATTGTCCCTCAGCTCTTCAGCTCAGGAACTTGCACTCTTAAGGGGAGAAGGATGTTCGTAACTCACTCCAGCATCCCTCTTCCTCTTTCATGTTTTGCTTCTGCTTAGGATTGAAACTTTTTTTTTGGGGGGGGGGGGGGGGGGAATTGGGGTGGGAGTGGTGTTGGTCACGGGGCCTGAACTCTGGGCCTGGGCACTGTCCCTCAGCTCTTCAGCTCAAAGCTAGTGCTCTATCACTTGAGCCACAGCACCACTTCTGGATTTTTCTGCTTATGTGGTGCTGAGGAATTGAGCCCAGGGGCTCATGCATACAAGGCAAGCACTCTACCATTGAGCCACCTTCCCAGCCCCAGGATTGAAACTTGTTGTTGGTCAGGCTAAGGGACTTGGAAGAGCACCTGTTTCAGAACAGCTGAAGAAAATGTGACAAAAAAAAAACTTAGCTCCTGGGGCTGGGAAGGTGGCTCAGTGGTAGAGTGCTTGCCTTGCATGCATGAGGCCCTGGGTTCGATTCCTCAGCACCACATAAGCAGAAAAAGCGGGAAGTGGCGCTCTGGCTCTAGTGGTAGAGCACTAGCCTTGAGCTGAAGAGGTAAGGGACAGTGCCCAGGCTGAGTTCAGGCCCCATGACCCCCCCAAAAAAAAAAACAAAAAAACTCAGCTCCTTTGGATTTCCTCTCTGGCCTATTAGATGCCAGGAGCACGTATGCAGCGTGCCCTGACAGGTGACATTTCCTATGCCTGCCACATGCAGCGAAGACATGGAGGCACTACAGTCTCTCAGCTGTGGTTTATCTAGTTGTGAAGGAACTAGGGATGAAGAGCTTGTGCTCCATCCCATTGGAAAGGAATAGAATACCTCACCTTCCAGTTCTTTCCACTAACTTTGGACCAAGATAGCCAACTTTGTACTGTCCACAGGCACTGAGAAGGGAAGTAAGGCCCCCTGAGAGGCTGGACAGGCTGCAGGCTCCAGGGCTGGGCTTTCAGGTGCCCTGCCTGAGGAGGAAGGACAGAAAGCTCTGGTTCTAGTCACCTCTGCTGGCACACATGAATATATTTCCTTTAACTTTTGTGTTTTGAAACCACTATATATTAACATGGACTCGTGATGCAGTAGTTACTACAGAATCAGTGATAGCCAAGGTAGCTGCTAAGACTCATCAGGTTAATGCTATTGTCTGGCCCTCAGGCTCTGGGTAAGAAGGGGGCATAATGGTGAACAGGGAATAAAGTGGAGGGAATACTTGGCAGGCTCCTAGCCTTGGACTGCAGGTGGCTAGCAAGATGGTGGGCAATAGCCCTTTTTGGAGGGACAGCACAAGCTTCTGAGAGTCACAAATCAAAGTAATTCACACAGAGGATCATTAATCTCTGACTCATCTCTAAGAAGACTATCAACCGCATGATGCCACCCTGAGTCTGTCCCTGATCTGCATAAGCCTTCTCTCTGACAGCAGGAGAAAGCAGCTCTTAGGAAGACAAAGATACAGGGATTCATGTCCTGCTAACAACTTGGGTTCCCTGAGTACCTTCCTCCATGTGTAGGCCTGGCAGGGTGAATGGAGATGCGAAGTCCCACTTACCTGCTCACATCTTCGATTTTGAGGAATGGTGACTTCAGTCTGGCCACTGCAAGGGGAAGAATGCACATATTAGCAATATGACCCAGTACAGGGCCCACGCCACACATGGAGCAAGTGCTCCGAGAGGCGAGGCTCCAACAAAGCCCAGGAACCTATGCCTTTTCATTTGGCAGGGTATCAGCATTCCGACCTCTTCAGCTGGAACCCCAGAAAAGAGTCACACCTCCTGGGAAGAAAGCCCACAGACATGTCTTCCATCCTCAGGACACAAGAGCCCTGTGTGTGGGTTCTGGAGACTGTCAACCACCTACAGATGCTACCACCATTCCAAATTTGGCTAGCCGAGAAACCTAGGTTCTGCTGGTCTGGTTAAAAGCAGGTTGAGGTTCCCAAGTCCCAGGTCTTCCTATACCTTAGCTCTGGTGCCTCAGAATCCTGAAGGAGACAAGAACATTCCCTGGGCAGAATTCTCCCAAAGACTCTAGGATTTGGAGCCACAGTAGAGAGGAAGGATAGGTAGAGTGTTTAGTGCTGGGTGTCGGTGGCTCATACCTGTAATCTTAGTTACTCTAGAGGCTGAGATCTGATGATTAGTTTGAAGCCAGCCTGGGTAGCAAAGCTATGAGATCCTTATCTCCAGCTAACCAGCCCAAAAAAGACAGAAGTGGAATGTCACTCAAGTGGTAGAGTGACAGCCTGGAGTGAAAAATTCAGGCAAAGCCGGGTGCTGGTGGCTCACCCCTGTAATTGTAGCTACTCAGGAGGCTGAGATCTGAAGATCCTGGTTCAAAGCCAGCCGGGACAGGAAAAGTCTGTGAGACTCTTTTTTTTTTTTGGGTCCGGTCGTGGGGCCTGAACTCTGGACCTGGGTGCTGTCCCTCAGCTCTTCAGCTCAAAGCTAGTGCTCTACCACTTGAGCCACAGTGCCACTTCCGGCTTTTTTCTTTTTTTGCTTATGTGGTGCTGAGGAATTGAACCCAGGGCCTCATGCATGCAAGACAAGCGCTCCACCACTGAGCCACCTCCCCAGCCCAAGTCTGTGAGACTCTTATCTCCAAAAAACCACTCAGAAAACTGGAATTGGTACTGTGGCTCAAGTGGTAGAGTGCTAGCCTTGAGCTGAAGAGCTGAGAGACAGCGCCCAGGCCTAGAGTTCAAGCCCCACAACTGACAAAAAAAGAAAAATTCAGGTAAGAGTCCAAAGCCCTGAGTTCAAGCCCAATACCAAGAGTGTTTTGTGATCTCAGCAGCAGGACAGAAAAGTATCACAGGAGAAATCTGGTTGCTGAAAAAAACTAAGGCAAAGGGTTGCTGAGGAGACAAATTTGGACTCAATTAATCAAGATAGTTATCCCCTACCATCTAGTTATTTGCATAGTTTACAGATTTCCCTCAAGCTAAGACCTCTTCTATCATTTCACTGTGACCAGTTGTCAAGGCACAACAGGCAGGCTGGGAGCTGGGCAGAACCAAAGAGACTGCTACCTCACTCCCAACCCCGCAGGAAGCCATCAGTAGCACCCAAGCAAAATGCAGCCTCTTCTCCTCAGCCTCAGCTCCTGTTAATTACCTTTTGGGGACAATTTTTTGTCTTTCTAATTAACTAAGACAGTGATTAAAATCAATTCCCCTACAGACTTCCCCAAATTTCATGTGGTGGTGCCAAGAAACTTTTCTTAGATCCTGCTTGGGCAGGAATAAATGCCACTTAAAGAGCAGCTCTGGGAGAAACATCCAGGGGGAAGAAACTCTCCTGCTGTCCAAAAGGAACTGGGAGACAGAGTCCATCAATCTGCCAGTTTGTCAGTTTCAGGGAGTTTGGCATTTCTGAAAACGGTAGGCAGCTGTCAAACTGCCCACCCCAAACTGCTACTGAATCAGAAGGAAAAGGACCGTGAACTTCAACTGATGCCCAGGAACAACCAGAGGACACAGAAGCCAAAAGCACCTGCATGGCATCCTGGCTCTTGAGGAGAAGCCCAACCTGGCAGCTCTGTGCTGGTACTTAGATGGACTTCTCTCACCCCAGAGATCTGAGGCACAGGCCTTGGAAACATGAGGGGGCAACACAAGCTGGACTTGCTTCCTGCCACAGAAAAGCGAGCAGATGCTACCTCAGAGGGAGTCATGGGGAAGTGTTTATAGAGGGAGGGATTGCAATTAGATGAAGAAAAGCTTCCACGCTGACCTTTCCGTGCTCTTGACTCCACTCCTGGACGTGTTCCCTAAATGGAAAAGGAAAATAGGTTAAGGATGTGAGAGAGCCACAGGGGTCGAGGAATTGGGCCTGGGAGGCCCAGTTGCTCTGATTCTGTCCCACTTTGCTTCCTGCTGTTGGAAGGTCTGCCAAAACTAGACTCTCAGAGCTGGGCACCGGTGGCTCATTTATAATTCTAGCTACCCAGGAAGCTAAGATCTGAGGATCATGGTTCATAGCCAGCACAGGCAGATCAATCTGTGAAACTCCAAGTAACCAGAAAAAAGCCAGAACTAAAGGAGTGGCTCAAGTGGTAGAGCACTACAAAAAAGCTAAGGGACAGTGCCCAGGCTAAGTTTAAGCCCAGTACCAGCACAAAAACAAAAATTAGACTCTCAGGCTGTGAGCTGGAGCAAATCTGAGCAGAGGCTTCCTCCTCTTGCCCAGGACCATGATCAAAGGAGAGCCTCTCGGTGAATCTTGATGGAAATTGACTTTGGAGAGAAGATGCAGGATGAAGCAAAGAACAAGAGTCACTCTGGCTCAGGCGTAAAGTGGAGCTGTGCCACTTGTAAGGTAAGAAGCATCCATTTACCTGACAGGCTAAAATCGAAGCACCTGAAAGACCCAAAACCAAAGGTGATCACTAGGTAGCAGCTTTTTTTCTTTTTTCTTTTTTTGTGCTGTCCCTGAGCTTCTTTTGCTCAAGGCTGGTTCTCTACCACTTGAGCCACAGAGCTGCTTCTGGCTCTGAGTAGTTTGTTGGAAATTAAGAGTCTCATGAACTTTTTTTTCTGCCTGGGCTGGTTTCAAAGTGTGATTCTCAGATCTCAGCCTCCAGAGTAGCTTGGATTATAGGCATGAGCCACCACCTCCCAGCTATGGTGGCAGCTTTTATCTTCTAGGCACTGTGGACTTTCCAGGTCACCTATAGGATGAGGGTAAGGAAAATGGCTATTTGCTTCCCAGTGCTCATGTCATGTACCTTAGCACTATGGGTCCAAACCAATATTTAAGATAAGGTCAAGGGCTGGAAATGTGACTTTATGGCAGAGTGCTTGCTTTGCATGCATGAAGCCCAGGTTCAATTCCTTAGTGCCATATATGCAGAAAAAGCTGGAAGTGGCACTATGGATCAAGTGGTAGAGTGTTAGCCTTGAGCAAAAGCAGCTCAGGGACAGTGCCCAGGCCCAGAGTTCAAGCCCCAGGACTGACCAAAAAAAAAAAAAAAAAGGATAGGGTCAAATAAAGCTGTTATTAAAAACTAAACAGATCAAAATAAAAGGCAGCCCAAGATCTGGGGTGGGGCAGAAAGCTGACAATCTACAACTGCCTATACATCTGGGCCCAAGGTGGCTCCAGATTCTCCTCCAGCTGCACCTCTAGGGCAGACAAGCCAGAGTAGAAAATTCCAGAAGACCCAAATATCTACTACATGGGCTGCTAAGGGAAAGCGAAGTACAAATGCTATGTATTCACACGGAGGGTTATTTTTGTTTACGGTGCTAGGATGGAACCTAGGGTCTCATGTGTACCAGACAGGAACTTTTCCTGAGCTAAACCCTCAGTCCACAATGGGAGGATTTTTTTTTTTTTTTGGGTCAGTCCTGGGGCCTGAACTCTGGGCCTGGGCACTGTCCCTCAGTTCTTCAGCACAAGGCTAGGGCTCTACCACTTGAGCCATAGCACCACTGCCGGCTTTTTCTGCTTATGTGGTGCTGAGGAATCAAACCCAGGGCCTCATGTATGCAAGGCAAGCACTCTACCACTGAGCCACCTTCCCAGCCACAATGGGAGGATTTTTGATGTTTGCTTGTATGTGTATGGAGCTCTAGAAGGGTACATAGGAATGTGTTCACACTGTTTATGCTGGGAATGGAGGCTGGAGGCTGGGGGACCTAAGTTGGAAGGACATTTTTCATTTTAAGAAGAATTCTTCACGGGCTGGGAAGGTGGCTCAGTGGTAGAGCACTTGCCTCACATACATGAGGTCCTGGGTTCGATTCCTCAGCACCACATAAGCAAAAAGAAAAAAAAAAGCCGGAAGTGGCACTGAGGCTCAAGTGGTAAAGTGCTAGCCTTGAGCTAAAGAGCTGAGGGACAGCGCCCAGGCCCAGAGTTCAGGCCCCACAACCAGACGCCCCCCCCCCCCCCAAAAAAAAAAAAAAAAAGAATTCTTCATTGTAACCAACTCCCCTAGTGCAAAGACTGGAGATATGGAGAGGGGGCTTTTAGACTCTGAGCACGCCAACCACTTTGGACACACTTTGTTCCTCCTGTTAGTCCTATTCCTGGATGTAGAGCCAGGCAGATATGCAGGTTCACTCCTTTCTCATGTTTAGGCTTGGGTGCAGATACTGTGGCTTTAAATGAGTCTGGGCTCTCTTGATAGGGCATGTGCAGCTTTAACCCCAGCAAGAAGGAAAAGCCAATAAGGACTTGGAAGGTGACAGCTACTTGAAGCTACAACTCTCCCTCCCCCATACAATCTGTAAGTTCATTTCCCAGGCCAAGAGCTGTCCCCAGAATGGTAGGCTGGACACAGGTCATGAGCATTTGCACATTTATCTAGGACAGGCTCACCTACAGGCAGCCCCTGGCCTAGGCTGCAGTGAATCATAGGAAGAGAAAGCAAAGGGCCATGCAGAGCTGTGGACACTAACTAAGAATAAAGGCAGAAGTGGGTGTCAGTGGCCTACCTCTTGAATCCTCAAGAGGCTGAGATCTGAGGATCAATATTTGAAGCCAGCCTGGGCAAAAATATCTGTGAGACCCTTATTTCCAATTAACCAGTAAAAGCTGGAAGTGGTGGCATGTGTCAAGTGGCAGAGTGCCAGCCTTCAGTAAAAAAGCCAATCAAGCCAGGTGCTGGTGGCTCATGTCTGTAATCCTACTCAGGAGGCTGAGATCTGAGGATCGAAATTCAGAGCCTGCCCAGGCAAGAAAGTCTGTGAAACTCTTATCTCCAATAAACTACCAGAAAACCAGAAGTGGCGCTGTGGCTCAAGTGGTAAGAATGCTACCCTTGAGGAAGAGCTGAGGGATAGTGCCCAGGCCTAGCCCCACAACCAATATTCCCCCCCCACAATAAAGCCAATCAAGAACATGAGGCCCTCAGTTCAGACTGGTATGTGCGTGCACACACGCATATATGCCCACACGCATACACACACACAAAGGAGACCAAGTTGCTGTGTTTTTCCCACTTTGCCTCCTGCAGTTGAAATGTCTACAAAATTAGACTCTCAAGCCATTTAGATCTCCACTATTAGGTTTTCCAGAATGGCTAGGAAACAATGGGATTTAGGTGGGTCACAGAATAACCCAATGTGTCATAGACATCACTGATAACCATGCACTGCCCTGTGTTTTAGTGGGATGACTTACTTCTGGCTTCTTTGGTTCTTGTTTCTTTATATGTGAACAACCACCAATAGATAGCTGCCGCACGTGCATCATCATTTCTGTGGAGAACAGAAGACAGTGGCAAGGCTTTTGCAGTCTCTTTCTTGGCTCCAGGACTAAACTTGTCACCTTGCTTAGCCCACTGGATAATATCAGCCTTGCCTGCCACCTTGTGGCTCCATGTCACTTGACACCTCCTGACAACAGGAGGCTTCCTGCTCTTTTCTAGCACCGAATACAACTCAGCTTTGAATGGAGGTGTCGTATAGCTCACCAAGGATGGTATGTTAAAAGCAAGGGGTTTCCTGCAGGGGAAACCGACCCTCTGAGCCACACAGGTGTAGCCTCTGGTAGATACCAAGTAGGAGCTCAGCAAGCCAGAGTTTCTCTAGCACATAGGCAGGGAAACAAATCAAGTCCAGAACTGACATGTTCCAGTGAGATGGAGTCCCCACACGCCAGATAAGAACTTCCTCAGCACAAGATGGGGTAGCATCCAAATTAGTACCTGGAGGCTGTCCATTTGAACCTACCCTCTAAAATGGATCAGGGAAAACCTGGCACCAAGTGAAACTGAAAATGGAATCAGTCATTGCTAACAAATTGAGGACAATTATTCTAGTATAAATTTATTACAAAAGCAAAACAGGTCATTTATAGCATTAGGCAACCCTTTGGAAAAACAGAGAAGCCAAAACAATATAGGTCATGGTGCTCACTCTGATGAGACAGGGCCAGTTAAACTAATCCCTCTGAGGCTCAATTCTTTCACCTGAACAATGGGTTCAGAACTATGGTGAGAATAAGTAATTCTTAGCAATGCTTAAGCACCTGGTGAGTGGATCTTAGAATTACAGCTTTATTTAAAAAATATTACTATCATGACCATTACACTGGCCTGAGGAGACCTGTCCCAGATGCTGAGGCCACGGCCCACACTTTGCTATCTGCTACTCTACTGTTCCACACTTTCACTTTGTGGACCAACAGAGTTACTGAGAGCTCTGGCTTCGGCTACCAGAGCTTATATGACCACGATCTTCTGAAAGGTGATGTTCCAGGCTGGTCACCTGTATTCTCCCCTACATGTAGCCAAGGTGGAAGCAGTACCTTCCACATGCAGGACTTTCACTCCCCAGGAACGAGCATTGGTCAGGAGGCTGCTGCTGCTGCTCCCCTGAAATGACAAGAGCAGAGACAGCTCAGGGCTAGAGCATGATGGGGACAGGTAGATATTGCTCTGGGAGTCTTCTGAGAAGGATATCTGTGGGGTGGCATTCCAGTCCTAGGGAAAACACACCCTGTTCTCCACATGGATGGACCAGGACAGGGGAAGACTGCTGATCTACCCACATGCTCTGTTCTGGCCACTTGTGACTATAAAGGAACATACGCTTCTAAGACACAGGTCTGTCAGCAGGGCTTGAGAGCTGACTGAACACAGCAAGTATACATAATAAAACACCAGCAATGATCGTCAGCACCAAGTAGGAAGCTATGCTGCCTCGGTCCAGCAATATCATCTCCCTTGCTCATTCCAGCCAAGATACCCATTGTTTGTTTATTTATTTACATGAGGACATACTACGTTGCCCAGGCAACATTCTTGGGGCTAGCACTCCCCTAGCTTCAGCCTTCTAAGAAGTGGGAACTGTGGGCATGGGCCACTGTACCTGACCGTACACATCTTAATTCTGCTTTAACCATTCTTCTCACATGATCACCTGAGAGCTTTCTCTTGCTATTTAATTTTAATGGCTCTTGGAACTCATAAAAGGGATAAGCAGCCACTTATGAAAGATGTACAAAGTCTAGCTTTTCTGTTCATGTGGTGCTGAGGAATCGAACCCACAGCCTCATGCATGCGAGGCAAGCACTGTACCACTGAGCCACCTTCCTAGCCCTGATTGTGGCTTTTAATATACAATCCCTAGCTGGCTCTGGATAAATTACTGAACTTCTCTAAGCCTCTACTCCTTCATTTTGTAAGAAGGAACTAATGGTGTTACTAACATCTCAGAATATGGCTTTTGAGTTAGTTCTTCAGAAGTACTTGGCTAAATCTTCCTTGTGCTGGAAACATCTACCCACTACCCTCTATCATCCTTGTTTTTGCCACATTGAAGAAAGTAATATATTCCTTCAAGCTGTAACTTTTTTTTTTTTTGGTCGGTTGTGGGGCCTGAGCTCTGGGCCTGGGTGCTGTCCTTTAGCTCCTCAGCTCAAGGCTAGCACTCTACCACTTGAGCCACTTCTGGCTTTTTCTGCTTATGTGGTGCTGAGGAATCAAACTCAGGGCCTCATGCATATAAGGCAAGCACTCTACCACTGAGCTACTTTCCCAGCCCCAAGCTGTAACTTCTTAAAGTTTTAAAATTGTGATAAAACAAGAGATATTTTGGTCTTTTAAATGCATGCTTTTACTGGCATCAATTGCCTTTACACAATTGTGGTGACCTTCACCACTACCTGTTTCCATCCATTCAGCCCTGTCTTGCCCTAGCTCACCTGTTTTTTGATGGCCTTCTGCAACAGCTCCTTCCCTCTGCTCAAAGGTACCTGCCACGAAGAGAAGGGCAATGAGATAGACCACAAAGTATGCATAGATGCTCACACATGAGCTGATGAGAGTGTCTTAGGTCATGGTTCTCAGAAAGCTAGAAAGCTGAGGCTAGGCACAAATAGACTCTTGAGGATGTAGAGGCATAACTACATATAAGATCAAGTCACCTAGAGGTGGCTGCAGCCTGGACAGTCTGAACCCTGGTAAAGGGTACTCTCAATGCACTCGAGGTTATATGATCACAAAATTCCAAAATTCCAAGACCTCTCTCATTTCTTTGGGGGTGGGGGAGTAGAGGGGGTGGAGGGGTGTCAGTCCTAGGGCTTGAACTCTGGGCCTGGACGCTGTCCCTCAGCTCTTCAGCTCAAGGCAAGCACTATACCACTTGAACCACAGTGCCACTTCCTGTTTTCTGGTGGTTAATTGGAGATTAAAAAAGAGTCTTGGGGGGCTGGGAAGGTGGCTCAGTGGTAGAGCACTTGCCTTGCATGCCAGAGGCCCTGGGTTCGATTCCTCAGCACCACATAAGCAAAAAGAAAAAAGCCGGAAGTGGCACTGTGGCTCAAGTGGTAGAGAGCCAGCCTTGAGCTGAAGAGCTGAGGGACAGCGCCCAGGCCTAGAGTTCAGACCCCATGAGCGGACCCAAAAAAAAAAAAAGTCTTGGGCTGGGAAGGTGGCTCAGTGTCAAGAGTGCTTGCCTTGGGGGGAGGCTGGGAAGGGATGTGAAGGGTAAACAAAAGAGGAGGCTGCAATGCTTGATAAGAAATGTACTCATTATCTTGCTCATGTAATTGTAACCCCTCTGTACAGTATGTTCACCAAAAATAAAAATTAAAATTAAAAAAAAAAAAAGAGTGCTTGCCTTGCATGTATGAGGCCCTGGGTTCCACTCCTCAGCACCACATAAGCAGAAAAAGCTGGAAGTGGTGTTGTGGCTCAAGTGGTAGAGTGCTAGTCTTGAGCTGAAGAGCTGACAGACAGTGCCCAGGCCCAGAATTCAAGCTCCATGACTGGCAAAAAAAAAGAGTCTCACGGACTTTCCTGCCTATACTGGCTTTGAACAATGATCTTAAGATCTCAGCTTCCTGAGTAGCTAGGATTACAGGCATGAGCCATCAGCGCCTGGCCATGAGACTCTTAATATCCAATAAACCAACAAGAAGCTGGAAGTAGAGCTGTAGCTTAAGTGAGAGAGCACCAGCCCCATAAGCAAAAAAGCTAAAGGACAGGTGTCCAGGCCCTGAATTCAAGCCCCAGGATAGGAACAGAAGTAGCAACAGAGGACCTGTAGCATAGAAGGAATCATGGCGATGGCGCACTGATGAGGTGCTTAGATCCACAGCTATAATAAATAACCTGTTTCTGAATTCAAGTAAGATTAAACTAAAACCAGAGATGTCCTAAAAGGGCTCACCAATGCCCTCTTCCTTCATTTACAGAACGTCCATCTTCCCGCATGAGGTGCTTACCGAGTCTACAGGTTTCTGTGAAGGTGTGGCCTGGTAGCCTTTTGGATTCGCTAAGGAGGCAGTTTCCACCCTGACCTCACTGGAGCTGGGGCGGCCTCTGTGGCTTGTGCCATTGCGCTCTGCTTTTGCTTCTCTGCGGCTGGACACAATGTAACTTACTTCTTTGCTCAGAAAACCCTCAATTACCTGAAACCAGATCACAGACATGGCTGAAGATCAAAAAGCAGATGTAGAATTGTCAATAACAAAAAGTTGAGAAAGCAAATCTTGGCTGCCAGAAGTTTCAAAAATCAATGTCTTTAAATAGACTAGAATGCACTTCTGCACCAAATCCCTAAGAAGACGTTACCCTGAAATACAATAGTGTGTGTGTGTGTGTGTATTTTTTTTTTGACTCCAAGAACTGCTACTCCTGACCAGCAGCAGAAGGCAACATGCTTTGAGTTCTTTGACAATATGATACTGCACATAGAAGAAACACATGTAAGGGGTGAGGTAGGCTTAATAACAGCTTGGTTAGGACACTATGTTTTCTGTAAGACACACCTGGATGTCCAACACTGAACTTGTTTTTTTTGTTTGTTTGTTTTGTTTTGTTTTTGGGGGGTCCGGTTGTGGGGCCTGAACTCTGGGCCTGGGTGCTGTCCCTCAGCTCTTCAGCTCAAGGTGAGCGCTCTACCACTTGAGCCACAGTGCCACTTCCGGCCTTTTCTTTTTGCTTATGTGGTGCTGAGGAATCGAACCCAGGGCCTCATGCATGCAAGGCAAACGCTCTACCACTGAGCCACCTTCCCAGCCCCCAACACTGAATTTGTAATCTTGATCACAATATATATGTATTTATTTATTTATTTATTTTTGTCGGTCGTGGGGCTTGAACTCTGGGCCTGGGCGCTGTCCCTCAGCTCTTCAGCTCAAGGCGAGCGCTCTACCACTTGAGCTACAGTGCCACTTCCGGTTTTCTGGTGGTTTATTGGAGATAGGAGTCTCACGGTCTTTCCTGCCCGGGCTGGCTTTGAACCGTGATCCTCAGATCTCAGCCTCCTGAGACAATATATATGTATTTAAAAAGGAGCCTAAAACAATAATGAAACAAAAAAGATTTGGTGGCTGGGTGCTGGTGGCTCATGCTTGTAACCCTAGCTTATTAGAAGGCTGAGATCTGAGGATCACTGTTCAAAGCCAGCCCAAGCTGGAAAGTCCATGAGATTCTTATCACCAATAATCACCAAAAAGGTACAGCACTAGTCTACCAATGGAACAGCACCTGGTCTGGTCCCTGAGTTCAAACCACAGGACTGGCATCAAAAAAAAAAAAAAGTTATAGCTTGAAGGAGTACATCTACTTTTTTCAATAGGCAAAAACAAATATGAGAGGGTGGAAGTTAGACAACTATCAGTCTAGGTAAATGGAGCAGACTGCTCAATGGCCACACATTTCTCCTCTCCATGTATTACAATGTGACTTTGCTATTCCTTCCTTCAGAAAGTATACAGCCTATTTTTTTTTTCCTCTACAACCTGACTCATTTTGACCAATAGAATGTGGGAGAGGTAATATCTTTTCCCTTCTAGGAAGGCTGCCTGTGACCACTGGAAACCAGTTGGTTTGGTTTAATATAAACAGACACCATACTATACAGATGAGCAATGTATATAAGAAGCTTTGTGTATAAGAACAAAAAGCAACATAGTGCTATGTGATCACCAGTATCTTGGTCCTTTCAATCCAGCTGACCCTCCAGCTGAATACTGCTGGAGCACAGAGGAATTACCCAGCCAATGCCAGCATAATGATTTGAAAGGATAAAACATTGCTTCAAATCCTAATTCCAGGGTGGTTTTTATAAGCAGAAGCTAAATGAAAGAATAGACTAAAAGTTCAGCCAGGCTATTGGGATTATATTGATACAATATAATTTTTTTTTAAAAAAAAAAACACTGTATTGTTTAAGGAATAATGAGATAAAAAATTGTACAAATTCAGTATTGGTGCTTTTTTTTTAGCTGTTTTTTTTTTTTTTAATTATGAAAAATATCGTACAGAGGGGTTACAATTACATGGGCAAGGCAATGAGTACATTTCTTATCAAGCATTGTTGCCTCCTCCTTTGTTTCCCCTTCCTATCCCTTCCCATCTCCACTCCCCCCCCACACACACCCCACCCTTGCAATTTCTTTTCTTTTTGGCAATACTAGAGTTGGAACTCAGGACCTCCACTTAGTAGGCAAGTACTCTACTGCCGATCCCCACCTCTCAGCCCCCTTTTTTACATGAGTTATTTGTATGTCTGTGTGCACATGCTACTGTTAAGGCTTGAACTCAGGACCTGGGAACTGCCTCTGAACTTTTGTGCTCAAGGTTAGCACTGTACCACTTAAGTGATAGCTCCCTTTCAGCCTTATGGTGATTAATTGGAGATAAGAGTCTCAAGAACTTTCCTGCCCTGGCTGGCTTTGAACCATAATCCTCAGATCTTAGCCTCCTGAGCAACTAGGATTAAAGGCATGAGCCTTGGGCTGGGAAGGTAGCTCAGTGGTAGAGCGCTTGCCTTGCATGCATGAGGCCCTGGGTTCGATTCCTCAGCACCACATAAGCAAAAAGAAAAAAGCCGGAAGTGGCACTGTGGCTCAAGTGGTAGAGGGCTAGCCTTGAGCTGAAGAGCTGAGGCACAGCGCCCAAGCCCAGAGTTCAGGCCCCACGACCGGACCCAAAAAAAAAAAGGCATGAGCCTTTGGCATCTGACTCCATGGGCTAAAGATATGGCTTGCTTTTTGCCCAACTACACACCTGGACTACAATCCTATTTTTCACTTTTCACTATTGCTGGGAAGTCATCTCCATATCCAGCTTTTGTTGAAAAGGGGATTTGTGTGTATGCCTGGGCTAGCCTAAAAGTGAGACCCTCTCAATCTCACCCTTCCAAGGAGCTAGGATGAGAGGTGTGAGCCATCAGCACCTGGCTAGATATAAATTTTCTGTAGTTGTTGGTTGTGGGGCTTGAACTCTAGGCCTGGCCCATTCCTGAGCTCTTCAGCTCAAGACAAGTGCTCTACCTCTTGAGCCACTGATGCCCAGCTCCGTGAGACCTTATCTCCAATAAACCACCAGAAAACCGGAAGTGGCACTATGGCTCAAGTGGTAGACCACTCACCTTGAGCTGAAGACCGCACGGACAGTGCCCAAGCCCAGAGTTCAAACCCCATGACCAAAAAGAAAAAGAAAAGAAAAAGAAAGAAATGGGTACATTTTATGGTGTATGTGAATTATACTTCAAAAAAGAAGCCATTGGGGCTGAGAAGGTGGCTCACTCAGTGGTAGAGCTCTTGCCTTGCATGCATGAGGCCCTGGGTTCCATACCTCAGCACCACATAAGCAAAAAAAGCCGGAAGTGGCGATGTGGCTCAAGTGGTAGAGCACTAGCTTGAGCTGAAGAGCTGAGGGACAGCACCCAGGCCCAGAGTTCAGGCCCCACGACCGGACCCAAAAAAAAGCCATTATGGGAGGAAGGGGGGAAAGGAAAAAAGGAAGAAAGAAAAATTCAGAAAAATTCAGATTGTCACTAAAAATAGTTCCTAGTCTCTACCTCTTTGGAATAAACAGATGTTATTTTTCCAATGAGGAAAATAATTTACCTTATTTAAAAAAATGGTTCATACTTAAAACTGCTTTGGAAAATGAAGTAATAACCATTGGAAATACATGAGAAGCACAGATACAATCCCTCTCCAGTTCCTGCCCCACAGTCCACAAAGCTTGTAATATCCTAGAAGTTAAGTCACATACCCCACCCAGCTGCTGGACGGCCCTCGTCAGAAACTGGAGATGCTTGCCAGCAGGTAAATCTAAGTAAAAAGACTTTCCAGAAAAGGGTTGCCGCTTAGCACTCTTCTGGCATTTTCTCAGACAACCGGAAACTCCTGGATGAGCCCCTGGAAAAGAGTAACACAAAGAGAAACCAAGTGAGAAGCTTGAGGTAAGAGAGGGTCCTGTGAGTCAGGCAATCCCACGACAGTCCAGGTTGCCTGGTCCTGAGCGAAGGCCCTGAGCACATGAAGACAACATCAAAACTAGTGTCCCTCTGGACACTTAGATGTGGACAAAACAGAGCTCTATAAACCTAGCTCTGAGGAGTGTAGGTGTGAACCACCAGTGACTAGGTCAGATGGTGGTTTCCTGATAAATTAAACATAGAATTACTATATGACATAGCGATTCTACTCATCACATACAGCTATAAACTTGAAAGCATGAAAAACTAGTGTTCGTGGCAAAATCTCTTTCTTTTTGCCAGTCATGGGGCCTGAACTCTGGGCCTGGACCCTCAGCTCTTCAGCTCAAGGCTAGCGCTCTACCACTTGAGCCACTTCTGGCTTTTCTGCTTATGTGGTGCTGAGGAATCAAACCCAGTGCCTCACGCATGCAAGGCAAGAACTCTACCACTGAGCCACCTTCCCAGCCCCATCTGTGAGACTATTATCTCCAATAATAAGTCACCAGAAAACTGGAAGTGGCGCTGTGGCTCAAGTGGCAGAGCCCTTGCCTTGAGCTGAAGAGCTGAGGAACAGCGCCCAGGCCCACAGTTCAAGCCCCACAACTGAACCAAAAAATAAAAAATAAATTAAGAACTTCAAATAGGGGTTGGAAGTATGGCTCTGTTCGTAGAATAATAGCCAATGAGCCAAAGGCTCAGGAACTAAGTTAGAATCCTAGTCCTGCACTCATGCATGCATGCACACACCTCAAATAGTAAAAAGACAAATTACACTATGTGTTTGTGGTTCAGTAGTATCAAGTGTCTTGACCATATGTGTGAGCCCTTGGGTTCCATTCATTACCAGCCCCTCCTTCAACCAACAAATAGTCTAGCTTAAAAAAAAAGGGGAGGGGGGGCTGGGAAGATGACTCTGGTAGAGTGCTTGCCTTGCATGCATGAGGCCCTGGGTTCCATTCCTCAGCACCACATAAGCAGAAAAAGCCAGAAGTGGCACTGTGGCTCAAGTGATAGAGCGCTAGCCTTGAGCTGAAGAGATGAGAGACAGCGCCCAGGCCCTGAGTTCAGGCCCCATGACTGGCAAAAAAAAAAGGGTTGGGAATGTGGCTTAGTGGTAGAGTGTTTGCCTAGCATGAATGAAGCCCTGTACCACATGAATAGAAAAAGCTGGAAGTGGTACTGTGACTCAAGTGGTAGAACACTAGCCTTGAGCAAAAAGAAGCTCAAAGACATCGCCATGGCCCTGAGTTCAAGCCCCAGGACTAGCAAAAAAAAAAAAAAAAGGGAAAAGAATGTGAGTTTCCAAAGACATACAAATGGTCAATAAGCACATAAAAAGATACTTAAGATTATTAGCCACCAGAAAAATACAAATGACAATTACAAAGAACCCTTGAAGGAGTCTCACAGCCAGGTAAGTACTGTTTCAACCAATAGAAAGTCATTGTTAGGTGCTGAGGGCAGCAGTCATCTAATTGAATACGCAATAGGAGCTGTTAAACCAGGTTTGGCCACAGCTGATCTGAAATCAGAACCCATACAATGGTGGTTTCACTGATGAGGGCAAGCAGAGCTTGCATCTTACTGAGAAAACATTCTCCATGTTGACAACCATATTGGTATCTCAATTGTGGAGTTTACTGTTAGGTAATTTTATACAGCAGTAATGTTGGGATTCCAGATTTGTATTTGACAGACCACTTTCTATGCCTTTCTAGTACCTCTAATTGTAAACAAAACCTAGATAACAATGGGATGGCCAGAGACATATGGTGTTGGGCTGTTTATGAGCTCTTACAATTTTGTTTTTGTCGGTCGTGGGGCTTGAACTCTGGGCCTGAACGCTGTCCCTTAGCTCTTCAGCTCAAGGTGAGCGCTCTACTACTTGAGCCACAGCACCACTTCTGGTTTTCTGGGGGTTTATTGGAGATAAAGAGTCTCATGGACTTTCCTGCCCGGGCTGGCTTTGAATCGCGATCCTCAGATCTCAGCCTCCTGAGTAGCTAGGATTACAGGCATGAGCCACAGGCACCGGCTAGCTCTTACAAGTTCTAAACCTATATATCTGCTATGAGCTATGGTATTGAAACTATTTTCAATTAGATTGTACTTACTTAGGAAGACATATGTCTAAGTTTATGAAGTACAATTTACATGACTAAGCTGGACATGATGGCTTGTGTCTGAAATCCTAGAAATTAGGAGGCTAAGAGAGATGAACTGCAAGTTCAAAAACTAAAAAAGAAAAAAGAACTAGTTAAACATGGCCTTTATGCCTTAAAGAGATACTTTCCAAGCCAGGCACCAGTGGCTTGTGTCTATAATTCTAGTCACTCAGGAGGCTGAGATCTGGGATTGAAGTTTGAAGCCAGCCTGGGCAGACAAATCTGAGACTCTTATCTCCCATTCATTAGTAAAAAGTTGGAAATGAAAGCTGGGTAATTTGGGAGTTCAGAAAGTTTCCAGCTCATATCTATAATCCTAGCTACTCATGAAGCTGGGAAGTAAGGATTTCATCTGGGTAGGAAAGTCTAAGAGACTCTTACCTACAATTTACCACCAAAAAGTTGGAAAAGGAGATGTGGCTCAAGTGTACAGTACCAGCCATGAGCACAAAAACTAAAGGACAACACCCAGGCTCTGAGCGCAAGTTACAGTACCAGAACAAAAATAAATAAATAAATAAGCAGCAAGAACCCCCTTCCAAAAACAAAACAGGGCTGGAGGTTGGTTCAAGGGGTAAAGTGTCTGCCTAGGAAGCACCACGCCTTGAATTAAGTCCAGTATTGCCAAAAAAGAAAAAGAAAAAAAAAATAATAATGATCTAGACTTCTCAATGTATGTGCAGGAAGAATATAAAAACTTAAGTTCTAGGGACTGGGAATGTGGCTTAGTGGTAGAATGCTTGCTTAGCATGCATGAGGCCCTGGGTTTGATTCCTTGGTACCACATAAAAATAATGAATAAAATTAATTGAAAAAAAAAAACCAAACTTAAGTTCTCATCCCAAAATCTTACTAAGATGATAGAAATAGAACAAAAAGTGGACTAAGACACTGGCAAGAAGACAGAAACAAGCAAGAATGTTATAAAAAGGTGGAAGTGGACTGGGCTCTGGTGGCTCACGCCTGTAATCCTAGCTACTCAGGAGGCTGAGATCTGAGGATCACAGTTCAAAGCCAGCCCAGGAAAGAAAGACCTTCAATAAGCCACTAGAAAAACGGAAGTGGCACTGTGGCTCAAGCAATAGAGTGTTTGCCTGGAGCTGAAGAGCTGAGGGACAGTACCCAGGCCCAGAGTTCAAGTCCTGAGACGGACACACACACACACACACACACACACACACACACACACACACACACACACACACACACACACACACACACACACACACACACACACACACACACACACACACACACACACACACACACACACACACACACAGAGGTGGAAGTTGGAAAAGAGATGGGTGAGTGAAGAACAGCCTAGAGACCAGAAAATGCCAAATCTAAAGCCAACAAGAAGCTATATTGGTTTAAATACAAAATGTCTTCCACAGGCGCATGTGTTGAAGGCTTGGTCCCCAACTGGTAGTTGCTATTTTTGGGAGGTGATGAAGACTTAGGAAATGGGGGCTAGTTAGAGAAAGGAGGTCACTGGGGTATGCCCTGGAAGGATAGATGGATAAATAGCTAGATAGATAAATAGCTCTATTCTCCCCCAGGATGTTCTACTTCCCCACAGGCCCAGAAACAAGGCAGCTAACCCACCAACAAAGGCTGTTACCTGGGCTGGGAAGGTGGCTCAGTGGTAGAGTGCTTGCCTTGCATGCCAGAGGCCCTGGGTTCGATTTCTCAGCACCACATAAGCAAAAAGAAAAAAGCCAGAAGTGGCGCTGTGGCTCAGGTGGTAGAGCACTAGCCTTGAGCTGAAGAGCTGAGGGACAGCGCCCAAGCCCAGAGTTCAGACCCTACAACCAATCTTATAGATGAAGCAAAATACATAACTTTAACCAGATGTTGAAATGGTTAGGATTAGAATCAAAGGACAAATACTTTAGGAGAAACAATCAGAATAGTAAAGATCTCCAGTTTTTGTTTTCTTGGTGTAGGTCCTGGGGCTTGAACTCAGACCTGGACACCGTCTATGAGCTCAAAGCTAGTACTTAAGTACCACTTGAACTACAACGTCAGTTCCAGCTTTTTCAGAGTAGTTCATTGGAGATAAGAGTTTTATGGACTTTCCTGGTCAGGCTGGCTATGAACCATAATCCTCTGATCTCAGCCTCCTGAGTAGCTAGGATTATGCCACTTTAGAAACTAGAAGAAAAATCTGACATATTAGTCAAGTTTCTACACAGCTGAAACTACATCAAACACACACACATACACACACACGTATAGAAAACTTACACAAAGGCTAACCCATCTCCTAGAAAGCCGGTCAAAAGGACTTGAAGACCTCACTAAATATAAGAGCGAATGGGAAGCAAAGAAAAATCTTCCCCTGGGGCATAAATAGAAACCAATCTGTGTAATCAAAAAGCTATTTTTCGGGGCTGGGAAGGTGGCTCAGTGGTAGAGCGTTTGCCTTGCATGCATGAGGCCCTGGGTTCGATTCCTCAGCACCACATAAGCAAAAAGAAAAAAGCCGGAAGTGGTGCTGTGGCTCAAGTGGTAGAGCGCTAGCCTTGAGCTGAAGAGCTGAGGGACAGCGCCCAGGCCCAGAGTTCAGGCCCCACGACCGGACCCAAAAAAAAAAAGCTATTTTTCTTCATAATTTAAGATCCTAGTCACTTAAACTGGTCGTCAGTCAGAGACCCCTTTATTTTCGCTTTCTCGGCTTCCAGTTCAGCCAGCTCTGGCAGCGGCTTCTTACTCATACCTTGGCGCTCCCACTGTTTTTCAATTACTTGGTATTTTGTGACTAGGAGTCAGCAACTTCCCTAGCCTCAATCACTTCTTCTTCTTCTTCATCAATGGCAGACATGATAACAGAGTTGAACTTTTGTCTTTAGTCCTCTTGGTTATCATCACTTTCTTAGGAGGCTCTTGTTTCTGAGTGTATATGTTCATTTTCCCAAAACCCTGACCAAACTTTACTATACTGCCCCATCCACAATGAGGGTCACAGAAGCCCTCTTCAGTTGGGATTGGTAGAAGAGTGGTAGTTCACACTTTGAACACTTTTTACTGTACTGTCATTCAATGCCTTCAGGTCTCAGAAGGTATGTAGTCTCCTCATCCTCTGTGTTACAAAACTTGTGGGCATGTTTGGCAGCATCAATCACATAAGATCAGTCCCGTAGCCTCATAAGAAATTTCTCTAACTGATAATTGAGCACCAGGGCCATCTGGCCACACAAACAGCAGTAGACATGGAAGGGCTTCTCGCCATCATCATATTCCTCTCAGTCCCAGTGTCAGAGCAGATGATGGACCAGGACACTACTTTTGGCATGGTTCAGAGGAGCTAACAGAAAACTCTACCATAACAATAAAATTATCCAAAAAAAAAAAAAAAATCTCTTGGGCTGGGAAGGTGGCTCAGTGGTAGAGTGTTGCCTTGTATGCATGAGGCCCTAGGCTCCATTCCTCAGCACCACATAAGCAGAAAATTCCAGAAGTGGCACTGTGGCTCAAGTGCTAAAGTGCTAGCCTTGAGATGAAGAGCTGAGGGACAGTGCCAAGGCCCAGAGTTCAGGCCCCACAAGTGACCCCCCCCAAAAAAAAATCCCTCATTAAGGAGCATTATTATGGAATTCCAGAACAGGTAAGATAAGGAGTTTTCACTTTCATTGTGGGCAAAGGACATCAGGTAATCAAAAAGCCCTCTTAAACAAAATATCTAGGCCAGGTGCCAGTGGCTTAGGCCAGTAATCCTAGCTACTCAGGAAGCTGAAATCTGAGGATCTCAGATGAAAACCAGCCCAGGGAAAAAAGTCTGTGTGATTCTTACTACAAATTAACCTGCAAAACACTAGAAGTGGAGTTATGGGTCAAAGAGTGCCAGCCTTGAGCAAAAAGCCAAACTGAAGCAGAAGATCTAGAGTTCAAGGCCCAAGACAGGTATACACACACACACACACACACACACACTCACTCTCTCTCTCTCTCTCTCTCTCTCTCTCTCTACTGGCTAAACACAAATCCTACCTAACTGCTGGGCCCACAAGATAAACAAATAAGTAGATTCCACAAGTGCCAAAAATGAAAAACAAAACCACAGTGATGAGTGTGCAAACACTGACTGGTTTTGCGGGTTTTTTTTTTTTTTTAAAGCAGCGTTTGCAAAGAGACCAGATGAGCACAGGCAATATAGTCTTTGTGCTGGCCTGAAGCCAGAAGTGAGAGCCTAGGAGAAAAGTAAAGCAGACAACAATCCATGCCACGAAAGAGAGAATAGACTGTCTTTCATCCTAGGCTCTACATCAAAGTCTTCCTTGAGAATTCAAAACCTCAGGCCTCTGTGAAATTTTCTAATTTAAATTCATACAAACTAGGCATATGCCTGTGACTCAGCTATTTGAGAGGCAGAGGCAGGAGGTTCACTTGAATCTGGGATTACAGGGCCATCCTGAACACCATAGTAAGGCCTTGTTCTCAAAAAAAAAAAGGGTGATAGAAGTAAAAATTACATTGGTAAGTTAAAAAGTAGTGTTGATGCAACTGGATAGATATAAAGCAAATACCCAAAATGCCACAGAGGAAAAAAGAAAAGGAAAAAAGCTACTTAATAAGCTGTGGTTGGATGATTGCTTCAGCCAAGGATTAAAAATAAAGAAATGGGGGCTGGGAAGGTGGCTCAGTGGTAGAGCGCTTGCCTTGCATGCTTGAGGCCCTGGGTTCGATTCTTCAGCACCACATAAGCAAAAAGAAAAAAGTCGGAAGTGGTGCTGTGGCTCAAGTGGTAGAGCGCTAGCCTTGAGCTGAAGAGCTGAAGGACAGCGCCCAGGCCCAGAGTTCAGGGCCCACGACCGGACCCAAAAGAAAGAAAGAAAGAAAGAAAGAAAGAAAGAAATGGTTGTATCTAATGAGTGGAAAACAGCTTGAGAGAAAGGAGGGATCAGACCTCCTGTTTCTGTGATAGACTTTGGCCCTTTACACTATATATGCAGAAAAGTAGATAAAAACCTTTAATTTATTTTATTTTTTTGTCGGTTATGGGGCCTGAACTCTGGGCCTGGGCACTGTCCCTCAGCTCTTCAGCTCAAGGCTAGCGCTCTAGCACTTGAGCCACAGCACTACTTCCGGCTTTTTCTGCTTATGTGGTGCTAACGAATCAAACCCAGGACCTCATGCATGCAAGGCAAGCACTCTACTACTGAGCCACCTTCCCAGACCCAAAAAACCCTCTAAATTTTACATATAATGATGTTGGTGATTTTTCCCTCCAGTGCTGGAGAATGAACTCAATGCTTCCTTGATCATGGCTACCCAAATGCTATACCTGATCTACATTTCCAGCATCTGCTGTTTGCATGAAAAAACAAAAACAAAACCTGTATTCTTTTTGCTGTGTTGAATTTTAATAGGAAGATGGAATAAAGATAATTCATGCCCTCAAGCTTTAGCTCACCGAAAAGCTCCCCCATTGACAATACTCTGCAGAAAGCTCTCCAGCAAAAGAGAGAAATGTATAAGTAAGCAACCACATATGAAAAGAACAAACAAATATAACATGGATGATGCTAAAAGACACAGGGGTACCGAGGGAAGTGATACATAGCGCTCGCCTGGAGATGAAGAACTGAGGGACAACACCCAGGCCGATCGGGTTCAAGCCCCAGGACCGACAAAAAACAAACATACAAACAAAAAACCCACGAATATACATGCATTGAATAAGTAATTCCATACTGACTTTGCATCTGTCCGTCAATCTCCTTCATAATAATTAGTCTTTTACCATAAATTCCTAAATAATCTCCCTAAATTCCTAAATACATCTCCCCCAATCGCCCCCCCAACCCCCCCCCAAAAAAGCCCACTAAATAACTAGCAAACTGCAACAGGGCTCAAACGTTCACATCCGTAGCTTTGACCTGTGGTTACCCACCTTGATCTGGAGCTCTGAGCTTACTCTCGGCCATGGAACTCTCCAGTGTGCGGTACACGCAGCCTGGAAAAGGACAGAACAGCAGCTCAATCGCCAACCCCTCCGTCCCCGCACCTCCCCTCCTATGCCCCCCACCTCCAAGTAATTCCCCAATGCGGTTCCGGAAACAGAGTTCCGGAACCTCGTCCTTTCCTCAGCCACCATCTCTAATCCCGCGCCCTCGACTCCAGCAACTCCTCCTCGGTTCCTCCATCGTCCTCGGCTTCTTTAACTCGGATCCTCCGACCACAATGCAACCCGGGCCTAGAGACCCCCGTAACGCTTTATCCCCTTCCCGGCATCCGTACCCTATCTTGGCTCACTCTTCAAATCCCAGGTCTTTCCCGGCTGCCGTCCTCCTTCCTCCAGTACTTCGTACTGTGTTCCCGGGCTTCAAGTGTTCTTTGACATTCTAGAATCCGGCCGGTCCCCGCTCAGCCACGGCAGCAGGCCAGCGAGCGTCCCTCGCCGCGGGTTCGGTTTAAATTTCCTGGCAGCTCCGCCCCTGAAAGAACGTAGCAAACGCGAGATTTGCCCTACGGTGTCCCTAGAAGGACAAACTAGTTCCAAGTGTTCTTTCCACTGCCAAGCTGGCCCTCTGTCCCGCCTTCTCCAGGGAGCGCAGCATCTCTCCGCTTCTCATTGGCTGAAGGGGTTGGTGTCTTCACGGCCGACCACTGAGAACTCGAGTCTTCCTTTTTGTGACTTTAAAGCGAGCCGCTTTGATAGTCGAACAATAAATAAATTACAAGGTAATAAGGTTTCGCTTGCACGGTGTTTCATCTTCACATGGGTTCTCCTCCCTTTCTCTCCTCTTAGCCAAAGTTCTCCAGAGACGTGTCATCCATCATTTTCCAACTTTTCTAATTACACATTCATCCTCACCTTTCTACGTAAACTGTACTTGTCCAGGTGACCAGTGACTTCCACGTTCCCAAATACTGTGGTCGCACCGCGATCTATCTTCAGCCTGTCCAACTTCTAAACGTGGAACAGACTACTCCCTTCTCGAAACGCTGCCTCCTCTTTTTCCAATGAAGCATTAGTAGTTTCATCTTATGCCAATGGCTCCTCTACTGTTTCCCTTTGTTGGATTCAAGCCATTATTCCTTAGACTTACTGGAATCTTTATTTTTTAGTCCTCCTTATCCCCCTAGGAATGTCCAATTCAGCTCTAAGCTGAAGCCTTCAAAATCTATTTATTTTTGTGGTACTGGGATTTGAACTCAGACTTTGTGCTCACCAGGTGGGAACTCTACTGGAACCATGCTTGCAGCCTGTCCCAGAATTTCTATTTCTGATTTCCCCACCTCCACACAATCTTCAGACTTAAAACCAATGTCAATGGACATTTCAATTTGTATATCTAATGGACACTTAAAACTAACATAGTCAAAACTGACCATTCAATCCACCAGCTCTAAAAAGAAAAGAAATTAAAAAAAATACCCATCTGTTTTCCAAGTCTATTCCATCTCAGTAAATCACTCAAACCCCCAAACCTAGAAAGTTATCTTTCAGTACTTTTTTTTTCCTTTTCCTTTTTTTTTTTTTTTTTGCTGAAGGTCAAAATGTGATCTCACGGTATGGAGCAGTCACTCAGCTTCACAACTGGTAATCTATCATTTGAGCCCCACCCCAGTCTGAATTCTACTATCTATATATTTATTATTTATTTTATCAGTCATGGGGCTTATCCCTGAGCTCTTTACTTTGAGCCACAGTGTCATTTCCAGCTTTTTGATGGTTAATTGGAGGTAAAAGTCTCAGAGACTGGCTTTGAACTGCAATCTTCATATCACAGCCTCCTGAGTAGCTAGGATTACAAGTGTAAGCCACCAGCACTTGGCTGGAATTTTACTATTTAATTGGAGATAAGAATCTCTTGGACTATTTTTACTTGAGCCTTATATCTTAGTAGCTAGGACAGGTTTGAGCTACCTATACTGGCAACAGTACTTATTTCAGGGCCTGATTGCTGTCCCTGAGTTTCTCTTACTCAAGGCTAGCATTCTACCACTTGAGCCACAGGGCCACTTTTGGCATTTTTTTGAGTGGTTTATTGGTGAGAAGAGCCTCATAGATGTTCCTGTCTGGGCTGGACTCAATTCTGAGTCTCCTGAGTAGCTAGGATTACAGGTATGAACCTCTAGTGCCCAGCTTGCAATGGTACTTTTTCTTAAGCCCTCTTTCCACCCCAAGAACAAACCCTACTAGTCATACCCAGAAGTACATCCTCAAATTAGACCATTTCTACTATCCTTGTTCTGTCATTTCTCTATCATTTCCTCCTCCTCTTCCTCCTTCCTCTTCATTATTGTATAGTTGTATAAAGAGCTTACAATTCCATATGTCAAGTTTCCACTAGCATTTCTTGGCTAAAGTACTTCAGTTGGTTCCTAACATTACTTCTTCTCTTTAGTAGGTTCCTATCTCTCTCCTACAATCCAAATTTTTTTAAGATAATGCACTGTTTCAATATATAGCCTGAGATAGCCTCAAACTAAACTAATGAGCCTCCTGCCTAATTCTCCTGAATATTGGAATTACAGGTGTGCACTATCATTCTCCACCAGAATATATAAACACCATGACAGAAGTGTATATATATAGCACACAGACTTTGTTTCTCTTCCAATGGGGCCTCAGTCTGCAGTAAAGTTATACATCCTAGCTCTGATGTTCTAATAAAACTATATCTAGATTTTTCATCTTGCCCACTCAACAAAGGAAAACACACGCTAATGGATTTGCCAATTGGGAGACACAGAAAAAGGCTTTGATATATTACCACAAACTGAAAGGCTATTAAGGATCCTAGGACATCCTTCAATTCATAGCCTAATTTAAAACTTAAAGCCTGATATGGTGGCTCACACTTATAACAAAAGCTGCTTCTGAGGCAGAGATCATATACTAATAGTTTGAAGCCGGTCCTCTCCAAAGCAAACATGTTCCCAAATGTCCACACCTCTTCTTACCAGTGTGTTGCATTCTGGAAGAGCCCCTCCCAGAGGCTTCAGGGAACATATAGGGGCAAAACCTTCACACATCCCTTCCTCTCTCTCCCTCCCTCCCCCTCGCTGTCTCTCTCTTCCCCCTTCCTTTCTCTCCCTACCCCCCTCTCATTGTGATAATTCCACACGTGCATATAGTGTATCCCTATCAAATTTACCAACCTTTTTCTCTTCATAAGTTGGTTATCTCAGGTTTATTACAGGGATGGAACACAATCATTAAATGTTGAGGGTGATTAGTTACACAGCAAAGGATAAATATGCACACAAAAATTTCATTTGGGATTCTCAATTTTTTAAATTTTTAAATGAAAAGGGGCCTGAAACCAAAACTTTCCCATTTGCTACCCTAGCCCACCATGACTTCTACAAAACTCAGATTAAAAGCTCTGCGCTCCGGCGCGGGGGCGTGGCCGCCCTCTCCAGGCCTGCGCAGTGGGCCTGCGCAGCACGGCCCGTCAGGCACTGCGGTAGGCGCCCCGGGCGCTGGCAGGACCCTGGCCCCAAGATGGCAGCGCCCAGCGAAGCGGCCGCGGCAGCCTTCGGAGAACGCGATAGAGGGGGCGGGGGTTTTAGATCGTGGCTGGACGGACGTTTGGAGGCGCTGGGAGTGGACCAAGCAGTTTACGGCGCCTACATCCTTGGTGTCCTGAAAGAAGAAGAGGAGGAAGAGAAGCTGGATGCTCTGCAGGGCATCCTCTCTGCTTTCCTGGTGAGTAGCCCGCACACCTTCCTTCAGCCTTCGACGGCGTCTGAGACCCTCCGGCAGCGTTAGCGTCTCCCTTTCCGTGCCTGGAGTCCCGCAGCCTTAGTGGGCGTGTTTGGGAGAAGTGTACCCTTTCTCCGACCTCCCCCCGCCCGCCCCCCCCCGTCCCCCCGCCGCCGCCCCCTCCCCGTCCCCCCGCCGCCGCCCCCAGCCGGGTTTCTTGCAGCTTGATGGTGGCAAGTGTATTGGGAGGAATGGCTTTCCCCTATTCCTGGGAGCCAGGCCTTTGCGGATGCCTGTGGGTGAGCTGGAGAGTGCACTCCCAATGAGTTTTATCATAAACGTCTGACACCACATTCTAATCCCATCCGCTCACTACGTGCGCACGCAGGAATAACATGCTCTTGGGATGTCCGCCCCATTCAGAGGCAGTGACCCGGTCTGTCCTATGAGAAAATCCCGATGGAAGTTCCTTCTTGGTTCCTATTTCGGAAGTAAGGAGAGGGATGAGGGGTGAAGGCGTCCCCACATGGTAAGCTGATGGTAAAGGTCTTTTTACGGTAGGCGGATCTGTACCAAATGTGCTTGATTTTTTTTTTTTTACAGTAATTGGGAATTTAATATTGGGCTGATGATGGCAGAGGGACTGTCTAGCAAACACGAGCCTGTCTAGCAAGAATGAGGCCCTGAATTCAAACCTTACTGTTGAAAAAAAAAAAGGAAACAAATTTTGTAATCATTAGTATGAGAGGGTGATGATGGGAGACAGGAAGACAAATCCGGTTTTTATTCTTTTAGAAGCAGAATCTTTAACTCAGAAATGTGTATTACATGTGGGCTGGGAAGGTGGCTCAGTGGTAGAGCGCTTGCCTTGCATGCCTGAGGCCCTGGGTTCGATTCCTCAGCACCACATAAGCAAAAAGTAAAAAGCCGGAAGCGGTGCTGTGGCTCAAGTGGTAGAGCGCTAGCCTTGAGCTGAAGAGCTAAGGGACAGCGCCCAGGCCCAGAATTCAGGCCCACGACTGGACAAAGAAAAAAGAAAAAAGAAATGTGTATTACAAATTGTATTTTTGTAGTTAGTGGCCAAGCTGCTCACTTTTCCAATGCATTGTGTCCACTTCCCCCACCTGTAACACACACACAATTAATTAGATTGGTTATTGGGGTGCTGTAAGGTAACTCTGCCAGTGAGAAACAGAAGCCATATTTTGAGAGGTCAAATTGGGAGTCTATTATTGGAGAGCCAGCATCTGCTTCTGCAGGTGGATTCCTGTCTCAAAGACTGCAGCCCAGTATAGAGGTAGCACAGAGCTTTTTTTCTTTTTGGGTCCGGTTGTGGGCCTGAAGTCTGGGCCTGGGCGCTGACCCTCAGCTCTTCAGCTCAAGGCTAGCACTCTACCACTTGAGCCACAGCACCACTTCCAGCTTTTTTTCTGCTTATGTGGTGCTGAGGAATCGAACCCAGGGCCTCATGCATAGAAGGCAAGCGCTCTACCACTGAGCCACCTTCCCAGCCCATAGCACAGAGCTTTTTAAAGACAAAAACCACATGTTTGGGTGGAGCACCCAAACCCAGCAAAAGCAGACCTTATATGGGAAGTAGCTCAGTTACCAGCAGACCTTTCGGTCTGGGGGAGTAGCTTAGGGGTCAGCTTAAACTTTCATTACAGGGGCTTACACCTCCAACCTTTCATATAGGGAGATAGCCTCAGAGGCAAGCTAATCAAACCATTAAGGGAGCAAAAGTTCTCCTAAGGCTAAAGAACTGGATACCTGCAATTCAGTGAATGGACTCTCTCACCTGTAGGCTTTTCAAAACTGAGTGGAAAAGCCCCCTCCACCTGCAAGGCACCAGGATGGCTGTGAGAAGTTACTTAAACTCAGCTTCATTACTTTTTTTTTTCTTTCTTTTTTTTTTTTTGCCAATCCTGGGGCTTGAACTCAGGGCCTGGGCACTGTCCCTGAGCTTCTTTTGCCCAAAGCTAGCACTCTACCACTTGAACCACAGCGCCACTTCTGGCTTTTTTTATGTGATATTGAGGAATCAAACCCAGGGCTTCATGCATGCTAGGCAAGTACTCTACCATTAAGCCACATTCCCAGCCCTTCATAGGCACTTCCTATGGCTATCCAACAAGTTATTTTAATTATTTTTATTTTTTCTGTTGTGGGGCTTGAACTCGGGGCCTGGGTGCTATCCCTGAGCTCTTTTGTGCAAAGCTAGCACTCTACCATTTTGAGCCACAGCATCACTTCTGATTTTCTGGTGGTTAATTGGAGATGAATCTCATGGACTTTCCTGCCTAGGTTTGGATTTAAACCTCAGTTCTCGGGTCTCAGCCTCCTGAGAGGATTACAGGCATGAACCACCAGCTTTCAGTTACAAATTCCTTTTAAATGCAAGCTCAAAAATAAGCCGGACGCAGGTGGCTCACGCCCTTAGCTACTCAGGAGGCTGAGATCTGAGGATCGAGGTTCAAAGCCCCCTGGGCAGGAAAGACCGTGAGACTCCTATCTCCAATAAACCACTAGGAAAAACGGAAGTGGCGCTGTAGCTCAAGCGGTAGAGTGCTCATCTTGAGCTGAAGAGCTGAGGGACAGCGTCCAGGCCGAGTTCAAGCCCCACAACCAGCCAAAAAAAAAAAAAAATTTACTTGCATCCTTACTAGATACTATACAAACGAGTTGTTTCTGTGTTTGTGATACAGAGATCTTGGAAACTACATTGGTGATGTGAAAATTGCCAGGCTATCAAAGACTATCTTTTAGCATCTGTCGCAATGAGTGGGTTTGGAGAATGGGTTCATTATCATTAAAATCAATTTTCAGCAGCTATTAAAGAGAAAAGGCAAGATGAGCAGATATGAATATACATACTTTGTAGAGAGGTAGAAGGTAGAATGGACATTTTCAAAATCAAAAGCATTTTGTGTATGTAGGGGCAGATGCTAGTAAAATACTTGGTGGAAATGCAGTTCATTGATTTAGGTACATGCTGTAACATAACACTAGTGCAGCTGTCTCAAATGCCTTTGGCAAGAACCTCAACGCTTGCTCAGGCAGGACTGGCCTATAAATGGGAAAGTTTGATACAGCTTGTGAGAAATTGTTGAAGTTCAGAGGAAATACAAAACAATGGAATTAGTTTTTCTCTTGGACCCTACTATCAGAAATTATATAGGAAGAAATTTCAAGTAAGAGACATGGAATGTGGGTTTCTAATGTTTCCATAAAGTTTTTTTTTTTTTTTTTTTTAATCAGTTGTGGGGGTTGAACTTTGAGCCTTGGCGATGTCCCTCAGCTCTTCAGCTCAAGGCGAGCACTCTACCACTTGAGCCACAGCTCCACTTCCAGTTTTCTAGTGGTATTGGAGATAAGAGTCTCACAGACTTTACTGCCCAGGCTGGCTTTGAACCACGATTCTCAGATCTCAGCCTCCTGAGTAGCTAGGATTACAGGCGTGAGCCACCAGGGCCCGGCATTCCATAAAGCTTTTTAAAAAGTTGTTGAAATAGTATTCCAGAACAGTCCTTTTTTTTGTTGGTCATGGGGCCTGAACTCTGGGCCTGGATGCTGTCCCTTAGCTCTTCAGCTTAAGGCTAGCTCTCTACCACTTGAGCCACAGCACCACTTCTGGCTTTTTCTGCTTATGAGGTGCTGAGGAATCGAACCCAGGGTCTTGTGCATGCAAGGCAAGCACTCAACCACTGAGCCACCTTCCCAGTCCCAATGCAGAACTTCTTGTTACCAGTTTATAACTAACTATTCCTTTCTATGGTGTTACTATGTAGGGCTATGTGTTTGTGGATGAAGGGAAATGTGTTTGCTAGTCTCTTGTTAGAGAAGGCAATATCCAGAAACACATTTAGCTCTATGTATTTGCCTCTTGTTTCATAACCTGCCGAAAACAAAAATTCTTTTTTTTTTTTTTTTTTGGGTCCAGTTGTGGGCCTCAACTTTGGGTCTGGGCGCTGTCCCTCAGCTCTTCAGCTCAAGGCTAGCGCTCTACCACTTGAGCCACAGCGCCACTTCCGGCTTTTTTCTTTTTGCTTATGTGGTACTGAGGAATCGAACCCAGGGCCTCATGCATGTAAGGCAAGGGCTCTACCACTGAGCCACCTTCCCAGCCCAAGAAAACAAAAATTCTTATAGGAGTTTCCCCCAACTGTCTCATAAATATACCATATTTGATTTTCTGAACCCCTCAATATAGAAGCTTGACTCTGGGGCAGCCTTGTGAGAATTATAGTGAGGCAGAAGTTTTATCCATGAAACACTGCTTTAGAATACTATTTCAACAGCTCCTATATGAAAACTTTCCTTTTTTTGTTTATTTGTTGGTTATGGGGTTTGAACTCAGGACCTGGGCACTGTCCCTGAACTTTTTTGCTCGAGGCTAGTACTCTACCACTTTGAGCCAACAGGGCCTGGTTTCTGGTGATTAATTGAATTTGTAAGAGTCTCTGGACTTTCCTGCCTGGGTTAGCTTCTAAATCCTCAGATCTCAGCCTCCTGAGTAGCTAGGATTACAGCTGTGAATCATTGGCGTGGCTCCAACATCATTTTTGTTCTACCATGTTGAGGAGGGATTGATTGGAATGTAGAATATGTATGTTGATGTAAAATGGACACGGGGATGGTTGCATAGGTTCTCCTCTACTCATTTATCTCCTCTGATAAATATATCAGCAAGCTCATAGATATATTGCAGTGTGAAAGCTGGTAAATCCTGAAAAATAGTCTTATCAGCCAAGGAAGATTTTACAGGGACAGTTTTGGCACAGCCAACAAATTTTTTTTTTTTTGTCGGTCATGGGGCTTGAACTCTGGGCCTGGGCGCTGTCCCTCAGCTCTTCAGCTCAAGGCGAGCGCTCTACCACTTGAGCTACAGCGCCACTTCCCGTTTTCTGGTGGTTTATTGGAGATAGGAGTCTCACGGTCTCTCCTGCCCGGGCTGGCTTTGAACCGATCCTCAGATCTCAGCCTCCTGAGTAGCTAGGATTACAGGCGTGAGCCACCAGCGCCCGGCTCAGCCAACAAATTTTGTATGGAAAGAATAAGGAGAGGCTGGGAAGGTGGCTCAGTGGAAGAGTGCTTGCCTTGCATGCATGAGGCCTTGGGTTCGATTCCTCAGCACCTCATAAGCAGAAAAGGCTGGAAGTGGCGTTGTGGCTCACGCGGTAGAACGCCAGCCCTGAGCTGAGGAGCTGAAGGACAGTGCCCAGACCCAGAGTTCAGGCCCTACAACCGACCAAAAAAAAAAAAAAAAAAAAGAATAAGGAGAAAGCTGGGCGCCATTGGCTCATGCTTGTAATCCTAGCAACTCAGTAGGTGAGTATCTGAGGATCACAGTTTGAAGCCAGCACAAGCAAGAAAGTCCATGAGACTAATATCTTACTCAAAACCCAGAAATAGAGCTGTGACTCAAGTGGTAGAGTGCCAGCTTGAATGAAAAAGATGAGACAGCACCCAGTCCCTGAGTTTAAGCCCCAGTACCAGCATAGACCCCCACACATACACAAAATAGGAGAGGTAGACAGGGAAGAAAGAAAAAAAGAAATTGCTAATCAAATGGCACATAGTTTCAAAGATACAAGTTTTAGCAATCTGTGGACAGAATGGAGACTATAATAAACAGTAATGCATTGCATATTTTCAAAATTCCTAAAGGAGTAGATTAGCTAGATTAAACATTCCTCATTGTAAACATGTAAAAGTATTACATTGTGCTAGGCACTGGTGGGTCACACCTGTAATCCTAGCTACTCAGGAGGCTGACATCTGATGATCATGGTTTGAAGCCAGCACAGACTGTTTTTAGTTTTTGTTTTGTCGGTTGTGGGGATTGAACTCAGGGCCTGTGAGCTGTCTTTCAGCCTCTTTGTGGTCAAGGTTAGTGATCTACCACTTGAGTCACAGTGCTACTTCCAGCTGTTGAATGGTTATTTGGAGATCAGAGTCTCATGATGACTTTTCTTCCCGGTTTGGTTTCTAATCATGATCCTCAGATCACAGGTGTGAGCCACTGGGAGACTCATCTCCCAGTTAGCCCACCAAAGAGCTGGCAGTGCAGTTGTGGCTCAGTGGTAGAGTTCTAGTTGAGCAAAACAGCTCAGGGCAGTGCCCAGGCCCTGAGTTCAAGCCCAAGAATTGGCACACAAACATAAAATATCACATTCACAAGCCAGGCGCTGGTGGCTCATGCCTGTAATCCTAGTTACTCAGGAGGCTGATATCTGAAGATCACGGTTCAAAGCTAGCTCTGGAAGGAAAGTCCATGAGACTTGAATCTCCAATAAACCACTAGAAAACCGGAAGTGGCGCTGTGGCTCAAGTGGTAGAGTGCTTGCCTTGAGTTGAAGAGCTGAGGGATAGCGCCCAAGCCCAGAGTTCAAATCCCATGATCGACCAAAAAAAAAAAAAAATCACATTCACATTGTACTCCAAAATGTGTAATATGTATAATAATTTGTCAATCAAAAATAAAATTAAGAAAATATTTTTTAATGAATGAAAGCCAGGTGTCAGTGGCTCATACTTGTAATCCTAACTACTTAGAAGGCTGAAGCCTAAGGATTGCATTTTGAAGCCAGCTCTCGTAGGAAAGTGCTTGAGGCTCTTACTTCCAATTACCTACCAAAAAGCTGGAAGTTGAGCTGTGGCTCAAGTGGTAGAGTGCTAGCCTTGAGAAAAAAATTCAACAATGGCATCTAGGCCTTGACTTCAAGCCCTAGGACCAGCACTCACACATGCGCACACATACACATATACAATGAGTGAAGAGGACTTTCCTAAGTTGGTGGGAATCTTTTCTGCTAGATTTTGGGAGATTGGATTGGCTGCTCTTTACCAAGCAGGTATAGAGAGAAACATTCTGCTGACTCCCAACCCTTCCAAGTTTTCTTCTCATCTCCAGCAGGTGGAGCTGTGCCTCTTCATAGGCTTTTATTAGGTTAGGGTTCTGTTTCAAGAGTCTTTCAGGAAATTAATTGGTCTAACATTTCCAACTAGGAAGAAGATTCTCTCCTGGACATTTGCAAAGAGATTGTGGAACGATGGTCGGAAACACAGAACGTTGTCACCAAAGTGAAGAAAGAAGGTAGAGTTGGTATTTATGTATCTAACCTACAAAAGCAAAAGATTCATTCTTTCTAAGGTAATTTATACTGGTACATAGCCAAAACAGTTTGCATTATCTTTTTTTTTTTTGGTCCTGGGGCTTAAACTCAGGGCATGAGCACTGTCCCTGTGCATCTTTGTGCTCAAGACTAGCACTTTACCACTTGAGCCACAGTGCCACTTCTGGCTTTTTCTGAATAGTTTATTGGAGATAATCTCATGGATTCTCCTGCCTGGGCTGGTTTCTAACCATAATCCTCAGATCTCAGCCTCCTGAGTAGTTAGGATTAAAGTCATGAATCACCAGCTCCTGGCTTTGTTTTATCTTTTTATTAAACATAATTTTCTTTCTTCTTTTGCATTTTTCCATTTTAGCCTGACCACAGTCATTCTCTGCTCCTAGTAATATACATTATATACAGTGTAGGTATTGGTTCGCCTCTGTTGTTCTCACTTTTAATCTTTTTCTTTTTCTTTTTAAATTGGTTGTGGGGCTTGAACTCTGGGCCTGGGCGCTGTCCCTGAACTCTTCAGCCCAAGGCTAGTGCTCTACCACTTGAGCCATAGTGTCATTTCTGGTTTTCTGGTGGTTAATTGAAGAGTCTCATGGACTTTACTGCCTAGGCTGGCTTTGAACTGCAGTCCTTAGATCTCAGCCTCCTGAGTAGCAAGGTTTATAGATGTGAGCCACTAGGGCCTGGCTGTAATCTTTTTCATATTTTCAGATGTTAAAACAAATTGTGATTGGGATTTTGCTTCATTTGACTAAATTCTTCACCCTTTAAAATACAAGAAGGACTGGGAAGGTGGCTCAGTGGTAGAGTGCTTGCCTTGCATGCATGAGGCTCTGGGTTCGATTCCTCACTACCACATAAGCAAAAAGAAAAAAGCCGGAAGTGGCGCTGTGGCGCAAGTGGTAGAGCGCTAGCCTTGAGCTGAGGGATAGTGCCCAGGCCCAGAGTTCAGGCCCCACAACTGGACCCAAAAAAAACCCCAAACAACAACAACAACAACAAACAAGAAAAGCTAGTGCAATAGGGCTGGGACCGTGGCTCAGTGGTAGAGTGCTTGCCTTGCATGCATGAGGCCCTGGGTTCAATTCCTCAGCACCACATAAGCAGAAAAAGCTGGAAGTGGTGCTGTGGCTCAAATGGTAGGGTGCTAACCTTGAGCTGTGGCTCAAATGGTAGGGTGCTAACCTTGAGCTGAAGAGCTGAGGGACAGTGCCCAGGCTCAGAGTTCAGGCCCCACGATGACCAAAAAAAAAAGCTAGTCCAACACTTTGAGCCACAGTACCACTTCCAGTTTTCTGGTGACTAATTGGAGATAAGACTCTCATGGACATTCCTGCCTGGGCTGGTTTCTAACCACAATTTTCAGATCTCGGCCTTCTGAGTTGCTGGAATTACAGGCATGAGCCCCTGGTACCTAGCATTTTTTTCCTCCTAGTTACACAGGTAGCTGAGATCTAGGGATTGCAGTTTGATCTAGCCTGGGCAGAAAATTCTGTTTGTTCCTTTTTTGTGTGTGTATGTGTATTGGTCATGGGGCTTGAACTTTGGGCCTGGGACCTGTTCCTCAGCTCTTTGGCTCAAGGCTCATGTTCTACCACTAGAACCACAGCACCACTTCCAGTTTTCTGGTGATTAATTGGAGATAAGAGTCTCACAGACTTTCCTGCCTAGGCTGGCTTTGAACCTCAATCCTCAGATCTCAGCCTTCTGAGTAGCTAGGATTACAGGTGTGAGCCACCAGTGCCCGGCTCTGTTCATTTCTTATCTCTAATTAACCACCAAAAATAAAAGCTGGAAGTAGAGCTGTGGCTCAAGTGGTAGAGTGCTTAGCCATTAGCAAAAGAGCTCAGAGACAGTACCTAGGCTTTGAGTTCAAGACACAGTACCAACACCAAAAAAAAGAAAAAGAAAAAAAGTAGAACTTTAACCTACAATCCAATTATAATCAGAACTACTCTGAAGGGAGATATAAGACCTAAACCCTGGCCTGTATGGCTTTTTCTTGGCTTTCTCACTGGCCTGTGAGCTGTGTCGTTGGAGTTCCAGATTTCTAAGGAGTCAGCATATGTCTGGGTAGAATAGTTGTTCCATGGTAAGGCACTCCTATTAGCTTTTTGTCCCCCTTCTACCACCTCCCAGATGAAGTACAGGCCATCGCCTCCCTAATTGAGAAGCAGGCACAGATTGTGGTGAAACCCAGGATGGTGTCAGAAGAGGAGAAGCAGAGAAAAGCTGCCCTGCTGGCCCAGTATGCTGATGTGACAGATGAAGAAGAATATCCTTTCTAGAGCCTCATTCTCTGAAAGTCAAACCAAAGATTTTGTTGGTGGTGGTTATGGGGCTTGAACTCAGAGCCTAGATGCTGTCTCTGAGCTCTTTTGCTCAAAGCTAGAACTCTACCACTTTGAACCACTGTTCTACTTCTAGTTTTCTGGTGGTTAATTGTAGATAAGAGTCTTACTGACTTTCCTGCCTGGGCTGGCTTTGAACTGCAGTCCTCAGATCTCAGCCACCTGAATAGCTAGAATTACAGGTATGAGCCATCAGTGCCCAGCTAAACTAGAAATGTTTGGTAGTGATTTATAGTGACTTTTGGGAAGTTGGCAGTCCCCTCTACCCTAATTTTCTCCTCTAAAATGGCAGTGATGTTGAGGAATGATATTGGAATAATTGGTACTGCACTTAGATTTTTCAAGACATAATCAATACATTCCTGAAAATTTAAGTGTAAGGCCTGTGGCTCATGCCTCTAATATAGCTACTAGGAGGCTACGATCTGAGAGTCATGGTTCAACTCCAGCCCAGGAAGGAAAGTCTGTGAGACACTTATCTCTATTTAACCATCAAAAAGCCAGAAGTGAAGCTGTGGCTAGCTGTGAACCAAAAAGTTGAGTATGAACAGGAGGACCTGAGTTCAAGCCCCAGTACTACCACAGAACAAAAGAGATGAATGGGTAGGTAGAGGCATTCAGAAAATTAGTGCCCACCCCAGGACTAGAACCTTGATGTTTGTGGGTAAAAGTTACCCTAAAAATTAGGAGAGCAACTTAATAGGGTAATTTAATCTTTTATGACTACATGGTTAAAAGTAAGGTGAATCCCCAACAATTAATCTGGAATTTGAATGGGAAGTGTACAAAAGAGTTGTTAGTAGGGGAGATTTAATTCTTGGAGAACTTGAAGTTATTTAGGAAATGCGCAGCTTACTGAGCCTTCTTGAATGAAGTATGTGACACATTATATACTGGACATCATCCCAGAAATGTTGTCTGTCTCATCACTAGGAAAGAATTCTCTGAGTGCTTTGAGGCTATTTTTTCTTCTAGTTTTCCTCATGTTTTTGGTCAGAGTTGTCAGTGCTACAGTTCCAATGACAAACATATTAGTTCTTAGGCTAGAAAAGGTAAGTTTTCTTCTCCTGTAATTTGGAAAAGAACTTTGTGTGTGTGTGTATATGTGTGCGCGCGCACGTGTGCACACATGCGTGCTGGGACAATGACTTGAAATTAGGACCTTATATTTGCTTGGCTTCCTCACTCACAGTTGGTGTAATACCACTTGAGCCATGCCACCAGCCTGACTTTTCTCTGTTTAATTGTACATAGAGTCTCATGGATTTTTCTTCTGGGGTTGGCTTTGAACCTTAATCTTTCAGGTTTGAGCCTGATTTCTGAAGATGACTCTTCCGTTATTCAGCCTGCTTTTCCTACTCATATTTTTTTTGGGCCATCACTGGAATTCAGGATCTCAGACTCTTCTTGGCTTGAGCATTACATCTACTTTCAGCTTTTTCTTTCTTGTGCCCATACTGGGGCTTGAACTCAGGGCCTGTCTCTTAGCTTATTTCACTCAGGGCTACTGCTCTACCACTTGAGCCACAGCTCTACTTCTGGAATTTGGGGGTTAATTGGAAACAGCAGTCTTATGGTCTTTCCTGCCAGGGTTAGCTTTGAACTTCAATTCTCAGATTTTAGCCTCCTGAGTAGCTAGGATTACAGGCATGAGCCATCAGTGTCTGGTTCCATGTCTTTTCCCCTCTCCCCTTATAGAGTCTTTAGCCCCCCCCCCCCCCCCATAAACCAGCCCAGGCTGGTCTTGTGCATGAAATCCTTTTGCCTCTGCCTCTTGAGTATAGGAATTACAGACACATTGCCACCATGACTGGCTTACTCATGTTTATTGGTTATATTTTAGAGCCAGGTTGGGATATACAAAGCTTTGTTTTCCATCTAATTTTCCTTAACATCACTCACTGAAGCAGATGAGAAGGAGGATTCAAGTGCCACGACGACAAACCTCGGTTCTGACAAATGTATCCTTTCCTGTGTCTATCCCCATTTTTTGCCAACAAGTCTTGGGAATTCATTTTTACTTTGCTGTCATTTATAGGTTCTCCAAGCCAACATTGAGAGTTCCATGCACAGCACAGCCCCTTAATTTGTTTGTTTTGAAACAAATTAAGTACTTTGAAGAGATTAGCTTGGAAGATGGACTTTTAAGGGAAAATAAGAATCTCTACTCCCTGTATTCAGCTCTGGGTTGCCTGGCCCTGGGAAAATAAGTAAAACAATGTTTTGTCTTTCTTGTCAATTTTTTTCCAAATTTTTAGAAAGAGAACACAAAGATTGAACACTTCAAACTAAAAGTATGAACATAATGAAATATGTATTGAGGAAGGTCCTTCTAAAGAAACACTTTGACAAGCTTTCTAGGAAAGTTAAATTTAAAAATCCACCTCAAAGGTGAGGAGTGAGACTTTTTTTTTTTTTTTTTTGTCAGTCGTGGGGCTTGAACTCTGGGCTTGGGTGCTCTCCCTCAGCTCTTCAAGGCAAGCACTCTACTGCTGGAGCCACAGCATCACTGGAGCCACAGTGCCACTTCCGGTTTTCTAGTGGTTTATTGGAGATAAGAGTCTCAGGACTTTTCCTGCCTGGGCTGACTTTGAACCGTGATCCTTATATCTCAGCCTCCTGAGTAGCTAGGATTACAGGCATGAGTCACCAGGGCCCTTCGACTCATTTGTTTTTGATGTGGGTGCTTTTCCACTGAGTTCCACCCCTGGCCTAAGACTCATTGAATATTTATGGCCTAAAAGTAGAAAAAAGATCATGGTTAGAATAGAGAGGTGGAATGCTGGTGGCTGAAACCTATAATCCTAGCTATTCTAGAGGTGGAGATCTGAGAATTTTGGCTCAAAGCCCACCAGGGTAGGAAAGTACTAGGGGACTGTTATCTCCATGAAAGCTGGAAGTGGAGCTGTGGCTCTCTTCTGGTTTTTTTTTTTGAGTAGTTTTATTGGAGATAAGAGAGTCACAGAGTTTCCTGCCTGGGCTGGCTTTGAACCATGATCCTCTGATCTCAGCCTCCTGAGTAGCTAGGATTACAGGCATGAGCCACTGGCACTTGGCCCTCATTTAACTTCAAAACAAAACAAACCCTGGGGTGAGATAGTGGCTAACATCTGTAATCCTAGCTATTTGGGATGAGATCAGAAGGACTGAGGTTGCCTGGGCAAAAAGTTTGTGCTACCTGCCTCTCAATAAACTGCCTATGATGGCATATACATCATCCCAACTATATGGGAGGCCAGCCCAAGTAACAATGTGAGATCCTATTTGAAAATAACTAAAGCAAAAAATAAATGGAGGCATGACTCAAGTGATAAGGCTTCTGCTTGGCAGATGTCGGGCCCTGATTTCAAACCCCAATACTGAAAAAACATATACCAGCTAACAAAATCTACTAGACAAGTTTTTTGTTTGTTTTTATTTTGTAGCAGTCCTAGGGCTTGAACTGGGCTTGAGTGGTGTCCCTAAGCTTTTTTTGTTGTTGTTGATTGTGGGGCTTGAACTCTGGGCTTAGGTGCTGTCCCTCAACTCTTCAGCTCAAGGCGAGCGGCTCTACTTGAGCCACAGCACCACTTCTGGTTTTCTAGTGGTTTATTGGAGATAAGGATCTCATGGATTTTTCTGCCTCGGCTGGTTTTGAACTGTGATCCTCATATCTCAGCCTCCTGAATAGGAGGATTACAGGTGTGAACCACCGGTGTCCAGCATGTTCCTAAGCTTTTTTGTTCAAGGCTAGCTCTCTACCACTTGAGCCACAACTCCACTTCTGGCTTTTTAGTGGTTAATTGAAGATAAGAGTCTCATGGACTTTCCTGCCTGGGCTGTCTTTTGAACTGAGATCCTCAGATTTCAGCCTCCTAAGTAGCTAAGATTGTAAGAGTGAGCCACTAGGTCTGGAAGTAGGGCTGTGGTAAGAGTGCCAACCTTGAGCACAGAAGCTTAGGGATGGTGCCCAGGCTGAGTTCAAACCTTAGGACAGGGGTGGGGGGAGGTGGGGGGGGTGGGGGGGGCGAGGGGGGGGAGTCAGGTTAAGTCCAAATGAGAGGTAAATTTTACCACTGAGCCACCTTCCCAGCTAAATGTTTCATTTTCATTCGATTATAGGAACTTTGTTGTTGTCACCAGAATTTTTTTTTTTTTGGTCGGTTGTGGGGTTTGAACTCTGGGCCTGGGCACTGTCCTAGAGAGGTATATTTTAATCTATAATAATACCTTTAGAATTTCCCATTAGAGGGCTGGGAAGGTGGCTCAGTGGTAGAGCGCTTGCCTTGCATGCCTGAGGCCCTGGGTTCGATTCCTCAGCACCACATAAACAAAAAGAAAAATGCCGGAAGTAGTGCTGTGGCTCAAGTGGTAGAGCGCTAGCCTTGAGCTGAAGTGCTGAGGGACAGCACCCAGGCCCAGAGTTCAGGCCCCACGACCGGACCCAAAAAAAAAAAAAAAAGAATTTCCCATTAGACAAAGGTGAACACAAGTTTTATTATTTTCTGGTAGTACTGAGGTTTGAACTCAGGGCTTAGGCAGTGGCTTTATCACTTGAACCATGCCTCCAGCCCCTTTTTTTATATTTTAGGATGGAGTCAAGATTTTTTCCCCTGGGGGTGGCTTAGACCACAGTCCTCATACTTATGCTTCACTTTTTCCATGGGCTAGCCTTGAACTTTCATTCCCTCTGATCTCTGCCTTTGGAATAGCTAATAATAATTTTTGACAGTACTGCAGTTTGAACTTAGTGTTTTACACTTGCTAGGCAGGCACTCTACCACTTAAACTACTTCCCCAGCTTTTTTTTTTTTTTTTTTTTTGCTTTCAAGCTAGGGTATTATTTTTGCCTGGGGCTGGTTTCAGACCTCAACCTTCCTACCTACAATTTCCCAAATAGCTAGGCTCACAGGTATGTACCACCTTCACCACCTGTCCAGCTTCTTGAGATGGGGTCTTGTTTTACCCAGACAGTCTCTGAACCTCAATCCTTCTAATATATCTGGCTCCTGAGTAGTTGCGATTATAGGTATGAACCACCATACCCAGAATTTTTTTATTTCTTTTGGTTGTGGCTTGAACTGTGGGCTTGGGAACTGTACTTGCGCTCTTTAGCTCAAGGCAAGTGCTCTACCGCTTGAGCCACAACGCCACTTCCTCAGATTTTTTTTTAAATGAGAAAAAGCATTCAACACTTATCATGTAGAGAGGACAGTCAGAATCTGAGTTAAGAAAATAGTAACTGTGACCTGTGGAACTTTAATCCCTTAACTCACCAGTAGCCCTGTTCCGAAATACCAATGTGGAAGATGTTCTCAATGCTCGGAAATTGGAACGAGATTCACTTCGAGATGAGTCTCAAAGGAAGAAGGAACAGGACAAACTACAGAGGGAGAGGGACAAACTAGCCAAGCAGGAGCGCAAAGAAAAAGAAAAGAAAAGGACACAGAGAGGGGAGCGAAAACGATAACCTTGGCCTACTCTATTGTTTCCTCCATGAACTTGATCAAAGGGAGGACTGGTTGAGAATATGTCTATCTAAGCAATGAGAAACCTTTGCAAAATGATTTCCCAAGGCATTTCTCCTTTTGTTATAACATGGTCAAAAGGAAAATCACAATCACATTTAATTATAAAATGTGCCAACTTTTTGGTGACGTCGGCAATCAGATTATTATAGTTACTGTCTGAACCAAAGATCTGGAATCTATTACTGTAATCCTGTGCTTTTGGGTTTTGTTTTTAAGGTCTTCCCTCACCTTGGATAAATACCATGATTCAGAGAGGTAACAGTTACATATTTTTCATCTTGAAGGAAACATAATCCACTCTTCTGAAAAGTGGGCGTACAAATTGTGTCAGAAGCAATATTTACCTCTGAATCTAGTAGTATTTTATAGCTGAAATAGAAAACTAATGAAAAGCCTTATTGGGATCCAGATTCTATGTGGTATGGCAGCAAACTAGAAAAAATAGGAAGAAATTATTTGTGGGTGTTCTAAATCTGAGAATTAAAAAATATTAGCCTGGGCTGTGGGTACATCCTAGTAGTTCGGTGGTAGAATGGTTTAGCATGCATGAGGTCCCGGGTTTGATCCCTTGCACCACAACACACACACACACACACACACACACACACACACACACACACACACACACACACACACACACACACACCAAAAAAAACATCTATGGGAGAAAAAATATGTCTTTAAGTAGAATTACATATTTTTGCTCAAGTCTGTGACTTTAAGCAAGCTATGTGTTAGTATTGAGTGCAAAGATACCATTATTAGTTAGTCTCTTTTTTTTTTTTTTTTTTTTCAGATCTTGGGCCTTGAGCATTATCCTGGTCGTGGGCATTATCCCTGAACTGTTTTTCTCAAGGCTAGTGCTCTACCACTTGAGCCATAACCCCAGTTCTAGCCTCATGGACTTTTCTGCCCAGGCTGGCTTTGAACTGTGATCCTCCAATCCCAAGTCTCCTAAGTAGGATTACAGGCCTAGATTTTTTTTTTCTTTTTTTAAAATAATGACAAAATATTTTTAAGCTCCTTTGAGAGTTTTAATTTTGATTTACCTTAAAACTAAGTCTTTAAAACTATAATTCCTGGCTTAGAAAAACTGGAGGAATTGTCCTTATAAGAAACACTGGAAATTGTGTGCGTGTGTGTGCGCGTACATGCATGTGCGTATGCACATGTGCACTGGTACTGGGGCTTGAACTCGGGACCTGGCTCTGTGCTTTCCTTTAGTTTTTTTCATTCAAGGCTGTCACTTTATCAGTTGAGCCGTAGCTCCACTTCCAACTTTTTTCTGGTTAATTGGAGAAATGAATCTCAATTTTGTCTGCCTTGGTTGGCTTTGAATCTTGATCCTTAGATATCAGCCTCCTGTAGCTAGGATTTCAGGTGTGAACCACCGGCATGGAATTCTTGGCAACACAAACATACTTAAGATACAAAGATGTTAAAGCTTAACAAATTTTTGAATGAGTGAGTGAATAGAGAAATTGCCTGAAGAGTCAACTCTGAACAGGAATCTTCATTTCTACTTGTCATAAGTTACATTCAGTTGTAAATAAGGCCCTTTTCTACTCTAGGCAGCAGTTAGCTGAAGAGAGTAATAATTGTTCTGAAAGAGAGTAATTTCTCTGATAAGACAGGAAGTGGATCAGCAAACCACCACCCATAAGCCAAATTGGCCCACTTTTTGTGATGCACACTAAAAAAGGTAAAAGAATGGATACAGCTTGTAATACCTAAAATATTTATCTGGCCCTTTGGAGTAAGTTTGCTGACCTCTGTTTTATATTAGTTAACTATGAAATTAACAAAAACCTTTACCTTTGTGCAGAAGGTTAAAAAAAAAAAAGCATGGTTAAGGAAAAGGAGATATACTACCTCTTCATATATTCCTACAACCATGGTATTTCAGGAATAACCACTTTTTAAAAAATAAACTTTATTTAAGTCACTATTGTTGTGGTGCTCATTGTCTCCCCCCCCCCCCCCCCCCCGCCTTCTTCCCCACCCCCTCTTCCCGTTTAAACTCAGGGCCTGGGTGCTGTCCCTGAGCGCCTCTTTTCGCTTAAAGCTAGAGCTCTACCACTTAGAGCTATTGTGCCACTCCAGTTTTTTGAGTGACTTTCCTGCCTGGGCTGGCTTCAGATTAGTGCATGACATATTGCATCTTTTAAAAAAATAGAATTTTATTATTATTAAGGTCTTGATTAGAGGGGTTACCATTTTATAAGTCAAGTAATTGTAACTTGTGTAGCCTGAGTAATTTCCTTTTTTGGGCAATGTTACCCTGTCCTTCACTTGTTTTACCCTCCTTTCCCTGTCTACAAGTTACACAGTTCATTTTCCACATAGTGTATACTGAATAGCATGATTGTACTTGTTCACCCTCCCTTTCTGTGCCTCCCTTTTACTCCCCTAAGAAGACAAACTCAAAGAAAAAGCAACCACCACCACCAATACAACCAAAAATCTCACATCATGCATCAATGTCATCCAGATTCATTCTGGTTTGCCTGAACAGTAGTAAATGCAAAGAGTTTTCTCTTTGACGGTGATCAGGTATGTGATCTAAGAGTATCTGGATTGCATTGTTTTGCCACGTTATTACTTTTAATAAAATTTAACATAGGTTCTTACCAGTTAAATGAAATTAGTTGGTTTTCTGACCAAAAAAAAAAACCACACTAATAGACACCTCTGGTTCATGCCTATAATCCTAGCTACTCAGGAGGCTGAGATCTGAGGATTGCTGTTCAAAGCCAGCTTAGGCAGGAAAGTCTGTGAAACTCCTATCTCCAATTACCCACCAGAAATCAAGAAGTAGAGCTGTTATTCAAGTGGTAGAGTACGAGCATTGAGTAAGAAATCTTAGTAACAGTGCACAGGCCCTGAGCTCAAGCCCCATGCACATACACAAATGAATACAAATATAAAAAAGTAAAACCAAATATTTTCAACAAAGTAATTTATTTTTTTCTGAGACTAAATTCAGTACAATATTTGTTTTCATAACATCCAACATGTCTTAAATCAAACTTAACCACTTTCTATGCAGTGACTGTGGTGTGATCTATTTTATTTGACTACCCTCCATTTAATTCATCCAGTAGTTCTAAGGCTCATCAGTGATCAAAATGTTTCTCCCTACAGTTACGCCTGCATTCTCAATCAGTTTCTTCCGCACATCATCTGAACAAAATTTATGTGGTGTGATTACACTCTTTTTTTTTTTTATACCAGGATTTCTAAAACTAAGGAAAACACCAACATTTTAAACATCAGTGTTTCTAGTGAAGGATATTTCAATTAAATTTCATCAGTACATTATAGTTTAACTCATGCTAGAAATGTTAAAACCCAAGATCTTCTGAGTCACATAATACCAACATTTCATATTAATGAATAAATTACATTCAATACAAAGATATTAAATGATGAGAAACAGAAAAGGCCAAGCTTTCAAGTGCTCTTTTTAAAAAAAAAATGGAGAAGCAAACTAGTAAACACAACTACACAAAATATACACTAACCAATTGCAAACTAAACTAGTTAAAGATTAACCTTAAAAAGTACATTTTAGAACTTCGTGATACCCTCATAAAAGACAGCAAACTAAGGGTATTAAAACAATAGTCATTATTTTAGTTACTGTGCATAAAGTCTAAAAGATCCAGATAAAGGAAATGTTTTGTTTTGATTCAATTTAAATACTTTAAAATTGGAAATATTTAATAATTGATAGTATAATTACATTTTAAAGAATATACACAAATGATTTGAACAGGTTTTATATTCAGTAACTTGCATGGTTTTTACACTGGCACTTTTATCACTAATTTAGGAGAATCAGATGCATTTCCCTCCAAATACTTAAGCACTAAGATTTCAAATTTATAAATATTGTAGTATTTTAAACATTAAATTTTTACATGAATATTAGGCTTATCCCTGTTTTCCTTTGTTTCCTAGGTATTATCCAGTTTTGTAAGGAAAACACTTTTATATCACAATCAAAACTTGTCTTGGTTTCTAAACTGTAACCATAATTGGGTTACAGTCACTTAGATTCATTATTTGGAATTACACTTACTAAGGCAGAACTAAATAAAACTTATCTCCTAGAAGAATTTTGTATTTGCATATACCTGCACTGCAGAATGGATTTAAGCAATATTTTGGCTGTTAGGAAATATTTAATTTACCTTAAATTGTTATCTTTGACTACTCAGAACTCTGACAAGAGCAATCAACTTTTCCTTTGAGTTCACTTTAAACTATATCTGATTCATTCCAAGTAGAGTTTTAAATAGAAGTTAGACTTCATTAAGGTATTAACTTTAAATCTGAAAGAAAATTAATGTACTGAAAGTTTGACAAGTTCATTAAAATTCTTTAGCATGTCTTGATACATTTACTTATCAGCTTTTAAACTATTTCTTCTACTGGCATTTCTTTAATGTTTGTTTGCTTCACCTCTCTGGTTTGTTGGATTGCTACTACTTATGCTTTCATGGACTCTATCTTCACAGTTTACAACATCTTGGAAAGCCTTTTCTACATCTGACTGGCCAGCTGTACTCGCTGTTTTTGGCAAGGTCATCTGCAGTGCACACCATAAGGTAGTACGTGCTTTCCGAGTAGCCACACACATCTCTTTAATTGCTGAAGCAAGGGCAAAAACATCTGTAAAAGAAATATTCAGCATTATTCCTTATTTGGTACCATTTAAATATCCTTGGCTCTTACAAAGTCCATAGTTATTGCTACTAAATGACTGAACACTACTTTTATAAAAAGGGTAGCTAATTGAGCTAAATGAAGTACTTTTTTTTTCTTCCCAGATACCTGAGCTTGAACTCAGGCCTCACACTTGCTCAATATGCTTGTCTACAGTTGCCTGTCTACCATGTGAGCCTTTAGCCTGGTGTTTTGTTGGTTAATTTAGGATGGAACTCTTGCAGACTTTTCTGCCCAGGCTAACCTTGCACTACAATCCTCCAGGTCTTAGCCTGAGTAGCTAGGATTATAGGCATGAACCACCAGTGCCTGGCAGTACTTCGTTTTTACCATTTTATTTTATTTATTTATTTATTTGTTTTTTTTGGTCAGTTGTGGGGCTTGAACTCTGGACTTGAGTGCTGTCCCT